ATGCATCTGTATTTCAGATTGTTCTTGTATGTCTTCTAAATATTTATTTCTATCACGGAGCAAACCTGAAGGTCTCATGATGAATGTATAACACACACACACACACACACACACACACACACACACACACACACACACCCCTTAATGAATACTAACGTTTTTGGAATGACTTAGAATCAAAACATGTAAGGACGCACGTGTCCTACATAGATAAAAGGGAGGATCACAGCTAAAAGGTGTAGGAATGTTAAGGTTTTAACACTGCACAATGATTAAGGTAAAGATTTTCTTTGCAGTGGCCTAAACGCGGTATTACTTTCATGTAAGTGGTCCATGGAAAAGAGTTTCAATACTTAACACAGTGTACAGATGGCAAACCTCCCTGTATGGCAGTGTAAAAACACAATGTGAGTGCAAAGTGTCAAAAATAGATAATGTTCATACTGACATTGTGCCATTACACCTTTCTAATTAATACGCAATTTCCACTGGCAGCAGTTTTATTACTTGAGCAGTATTAGTGAATACTTGAAGCAGTTGCCCACAGGTTAAAATACAGATGTACACACTGCAGTAGGATATTGTAAAGTGTTACCATAGAAAAGTAAAAGGTGTGAATGGAGAAGATGGAGGTATATGGCACTGAACAATCTGAGAGGGTCAAACAGAAGTGAAACAGGGAGTTCTGGATGGTCCCGTTTTATGTTTCATTTTTTTTTCCTCCTTCCTTTTTTTCGGTAGAATTTCCCCTTCAGAGAGATGCTGTCCGTTTAATGTTTGGAAAATATTTCCCACGACTCTCGTCCCTCTTCACATGACTTGCCACTTTTCCAGTGTTTCACCTAAAAGAATGTTCTTATCGGATACAAAAATCAAAACAGTCGATATATATTTCCTTTTTGCTTTCCATACAGTTTTGCATTGAAAAATATGTTTTTGTTAATTTTCTTTTTTTTCTTTTTTTGTTTAAATTCCAGATGTCTTTATGTGGATCCAGAGCTTATTCCATCTGTAGCTACATGTGTTGGGCATCCATTATGTCCAAGTATTTGGCCTCAATGATATGAGGGAGCACGTTGTTCCTAAACACAGAGCAGAGATAATTCATGTCAGTTGGTGCTTGTTAGAGCAGAAAGAAAACATAAGAAGAAAATAAACCCCGAAGCCTTTACAGTGTCTGATTTTACCAGATAAAACTGACCGCCTTCTTATCAGTGCTACCAGTGATCAAGAGCGCATTTCTACAGTGGCTAATTTACGAGCCCCCAAACTTTAAAAGATGCACTTTATGGTTTCAGGATATTATTATTTTATACACATTTACCTTCATGGTGATTAAGTGTCAACATTTGCACTATAAAAACAGACTGAAAAAAGAATGACTGAGAATTTTCCCCCTATATTTTTAACTCATTAATGTAACCTGATTTTTATTCCAATCCAGTTGGAAAAACAAAGTTGGAGGGAACCAAAACAAACAAGTGAAAAGGGGAATATTGAATTAGCTCGCACCCAGTAACCTGAAGCACAACTTTGCTGAATATCAATGCTGTGTCGTGTCTCCAGCATTTGTGTACAGGGCAGCTGTTTGCTAATGTGACAATGTCATGTTTACAGCTTGCCACACTGCCCTGGAATACTTCTTCCCCCCACAAAAATGTACTAATGCAGGTCACCTCATGAAAAATGTATTTTTGTCAGTGTATTTATCCACTGTGATCATCTAATAAATAATTGAAACTTTGTTTTTTAAATTCAGGTATTTCCAGTAGGCTTGTATGCTGTGCTTTAGTTCTGCATCTGATCATTATGGTAAAAGCCTCCATACAGTGTGTTTCAAAGTTTTATCAATCTGATCAATATTTGGGTATCGTTCAGTCAGACGTTGCAGTTTTTTTCCATTCCACATTAAATGTTAAAGTTTAAAAACAGAATAAAGATAATCCATCATCTTGTCTACTTTATTCTCCATAATAGCGCTTTTTAGAGAGATATGAAGATTTTTGAAAGAAAAAAAAAAAGACAGCAGAAACCAGACTTCACTGTAATTTAAAGCTTTTTTCATCTAGAGGGCAGATTTAGGTCAGACACAGCTCTTGTTATTACCCGTGTGGTGCTGAATGTCACCCTGGTTTAAAGCACTCGAGAAAACAATTTTACGGGACAAAGTGGTCACAGTCGTACCTGATTGGGATTAGGAGGATCATGACCAGAGGGAAGATCATTTTCATGTACGGTATCGGGTACATGCCAAATGTACACAGCACCAGCAGCTGCATCATCTGCAGGAAGGTGAAGTAGTGGATCTTCCTCTGGGGCACTTTGCGGATGTAGTGGGTAGGTGGGTAAGACGTCTGCAGGAGGTGAGAGGATCAAGACAGATTAAAAAACAATCTCCCCTGTGGCTCTTCTTCTTCACTGTCCTCAGGTCTCCTGCAAACTTAAAGGAATGACTAAGGGAAGTGGGCAACCCACACGCATTTAAGAAGTGCACTCTGGATTTTAAATCACAACGAATATTTAGCATTCATTCCTACAACGTACAATAACTGCATTTATAGTATCTCCTGTGTGACTGTATACCACAATAACATTGATTGTTGGTAGGACATGCAGTCCCAGTCGAGCTGCAGCAAAAACTAATTTAGCTCCACCAACTGATCCGGTGTCAGGTACTAATCTTATAACAAACAAAGAGCAAATAAATTAAAAAAAAATGACAGGACAAATCTGCATCTTCTAAAGCTTGGTTGGTACCTGTACACTCAGTAAATTGGAATTATCTACAGGTGAGGACAGAAAATGTATTTATGTGAAGAAGAAAACAGACAAAGATCTGGATTTCATACGAAGCAAAAAAATGTGGTCATTAAATTGAACAATGTTTATATGAGATTTTTTAAGGTTTGGTTTTACTTTTATTTAATTAATACATTTATTTTATTTTCAGTTTAATCTTTGCATGATTGTATATGTACATGAGCATAAATGCTTCTACAACACTAACATTTACACTTATGCAGGCTTTCTACACAGCGAAACCTGTAAATTTTGAGTCATTTCCTCATATCGTCATTAGGAGGCGCCAGTGTGTGACATTACCAAGCGTAGGGAAAAATGGCAAGCCTTGCTTTACATCTTTACTGAGAGAGAAGGAAGGTTAAATCGGACGCAAAGGATAAAACACTCAAGACAAACAATCAGCATTCTCTTTTAGTATTGTTATGTGTTTGATACACTATACTAGAATAAAAATGTTAATTTATCAGCTTGTCTGTCTTAATTCACTAAACACTACCCACCTCGTACTGTGAATATACGAGCACAAAAATTATATTTGCAAATACCATTTCACTCGTGTCTGGTCCTCCAGCACCGGGCACACAGTCAACCGTTTGATCTGCAGAGCCCTGCTATCGACATATGGACACGGACACACACATTTATTCAACTGTTACTTCCACCACACACTTTCTGACCTGCTCCTTCAGAAGGAGAGCCATTCGGTCGCACATCTGGTTTCCGTCGATGGAGGTGAGGGCGATGTAGAGGAAGAGGCCATAGAGGACAGGTTTGGGTATCCACTGCAGCGGGAGAGGCAACAGCAACACTGATATGCCAATGAAGATGTTGGCAGCCAGAGACGTCAGACGGGTCTCCTTAACCTGGACGATACTGAGGAAACGCACACAATAACATACAAATGAATGGTTACTGGAAAGCCCCCAATTGATTCATACAATGCAACAGACAATGCATTTTCTGGGATTTTGTTATCAGTATTGCAGCATATTTTTTCATTTGAAAAATCAGGAATTTTCCAGACCCACTTCCCAGAGTTTAAGGGGCCTGAGCAGTGGGGAAAAGACATGCTATATATTTTTTCCAATATCTCATTAACAGATCCTGTTATTTTTAAAACCACAAAAAGGATGAAGATTTCTGCTATTACTGATAACTCTCTTCTTACAGATTAAAAATATTAACCACTCTTTTTGAACAATAAAATAACAAAAATGATCAGGACTTATGAGTCGCCTGTGTGATAATAAGAACATCTCTTCATCCGCATCATGAACAAACACAAGTTTAAATTAATAAAATACAAATAAGCTTTTTGCTAGAGTTTAGTTGATTTAAAAATTTGCAGAGTTGTTTGGAAAAAGTAAGGAAAGCCCTAGGCTAATGACATCTACAAAAGCTAATTGAAGTCAGGCACCAGCAATCCTGCACTCCAATTAATGGAACATGATTGGAGGTGTCGGCTAGACTTAAAAAAAACATGTGAGCATTTTGAATTTGCTATTTAAAAATGCATCTGCTTTGCAAAGTGAAATATGACAAAGATTACTTTTGATTTGTATAAAGCTGGAAAAGCTTTAAAGTATTTAGTATTAATCAATAAGAACCTGCACAATTATATATGTTTTCTGAAGTTGAAAATGGACCTCACCATCATTTTAAGGAAACAATCAAAGCAACGTGAGGGATTGCATCTGTGACCTTGGAATGACCTCATTTGGACTCAACCTGTGGAGCTGAAACCTCACATTTTTCTCGTTGTGTAATTTTTATTTATTTTACCTTGTGTTTATCTTATTCTTGAGTCTTTTTAATTTAATGTCACCTGTTCAGGACTAGTAAGCACCTCCTAATAAAGATGCAATAAAAATACTTTATGTAGTACACCTTCAAAAACACTGGAAATAACAGCTGTTCATAAACAGTCAGTGATACTAATATTCAAAATTTCCTAGGAAATTTCCAGACATATACACACTTTCAAAATTCCTGAAATGGCACACTTTTCTCCAGCTTATATCTCTAATTAAATCTTCTGAACTTATATAAGACCGTCCCCCCTAGTCTCCATTAATCATACTCAACTACTTTCTTAATCCTGAATATATGCAAACTGTAATTTTGCACATATCTGTGTGGCCAGAATGATGAACATAATCCTCTCATCTATTAAAAACTCCCTCACCTCTTCCACCCCGAGGGAAAATCTTTAGTTACATAGTAATCACGCAATCAGGGAAGAACAGGATACAGTAGCTCGGATACAACTCAAAATTACAGTCGCCACACGCTCTGAAGACGAGCTTTAATTAAGAATCTGATTAGCACTGGAAGTGAGAGGGTGGGTAACTCACGTCTCGTAGAGGTGCCCCCCCTCAACGCGCTGCTCCACAAAAGCCAGCTGGCGCACATGGAGGGTGGAGTGGGGAAAGGCGGCATGCATCCAGGGCAACCCCAGCACTGACATTAGGATGTTAATGAGCCCAGAGAGCATTAGGTCCCAGTGATATGCAGTACCCTTCAGCAATCTGAGGAGTAACGCAACCATTACAGTCAACAGCATAATGCAGCACAAAAACAGGTTAAAGCTGCCTCTAAAACCATAAAGGGACAAATTACATACAAATGTAAGAAAGTAACAGAGTACATTTACCATAAGTTCTATAAATAGGTTTAAAGGCACGCACAAGAAAACTGCCATACACAAATTTTTAGAAGTAAGTCCACGTGACAGTAGTCTGCCTGTACACTCTACAACTACTAGTACACTTCTGCTAAAACCAAAAAGGGCATCTTTCTCCTAAGGTCAGTGATGCCCTTCGACAAACCTCGCTCACGTTTCACTAACTTTTTCCCATTAAACATAAAAGAAAAAATCCTGTACATTTTTGTGGATTCGTTCTCTTTTCTTTTTTTACAGAATGAAAAGCACAAACAATATGTCACTGATGATGACATCATAAGCCGAGCATGACACTACAGTAATGTTACACAAAAACAAGGCTGCGACCTTTTTGATGCCACCAAACTTTTTTTTTGCCCCTGTTAGTGAGGGATCACTGCAATGCATCATCTCTGAGGTGGTATGAGGGGGACTGTGTGTGTGTGTGTGTGTGTGTGTGTGTGTGTGTGTGTGTGTGTGTGTAGCCTAAAACTGTAAATATGCTGCCTGAAGGCAGACAGCAGCAGTGCTGTAAAGAAATATGAACACACTGATCACTAGTCGTGCCTCCTGCTCTGTGCCCTTGCATATGACATTGGCACCGCTGCATACTGTAAATTACAGTGCATAGGAAACTTTAGGTCATCAAGCATAAATCTAAGTGAAAGAGGATTTTATTGGTGAAGAAGCCTTTAGCTTTATTTTCATTTATATCCACTCAACAACCATATATATAACTTTGTAAGTTGGGATCATGCTGAGAGCCTGTAAAGTCTTTATTCATTTTCAAAATGTTGTCATATTTTTTAAACTAACACGACTGATGGAATCAAATATCTGTGCGGGTGGGGGGGAAAAAGTTCAAATGCTTCAAAAAAAGATGTAAAGCAAATAAAGGAATGGACCAGATAAAATAACACAAAGAACAAAGCTGCAGCAGAAATAGCTTCAGCTGTTTGGGACTCTTTTATTAATGACATATGAAGGAAGACATGAGGTATAAACAAAGTGAATTCTGTTTACCACTCTTTTTCATCTCACAATGAGTCCCATTTTTAGATATCTTTAATTCTTTTTCTGAATTTTGAGGACTAGTGGATATCTGCCCTCTGGGGAATTCTTCCATATTTAGAGCAGACATTTAGATCCAATTAATCTCTGTCCAACAAATGTACAAGCTAATGCCAGAAACTCCATCATTATATGTTTTCATTGTAGGGCTGCTAGATGGTTGACGGCTCTAAATTGGCCCATCCAATGCAAATTTAGAAGAACTGGGTAAAAGCTCACATTGTGTTTTGGCTCCGAGGCTTCTTTAGAGCTCTCTGACTGTGACAATTTGACTTCCACCCTCCCCAACAGAGTGGAAAATATCCGGTTGAAGCAAATTCCAAAGTGGAGGAGTGGATCTCTAAAACTCTGACAGCATTCCGAATGGTTACAGGAAGAGTGCTAAGCAAATACTAGAATCAACTCAACTTTCCCCTTGGTGTTGTTAAGCTATTTTCAGCGAAGAGAGTTTTGCAATCATATCTCTTAGATGTCCAACGTCTGCTCAGCATATAAGGATTTACCTGTTTTCTGGTGCGTTCGTCAGTGAAACGACGATGTTCTGGTCGATGAAGATAAGGAGGGCCAGGAGAAAGCCGAGTCCCATGGCGCTGACAACGTTCATGGGCGACAGCCGCTCAAATGGTGCCACGTTGAAGGTGGGCCGGTTATGAACTTTAAACACTGGAACTGTTTCAAAGGAAGAAAATTAAACAAAAAATAACAACCACGAGTTGAAGTTTATATTACAAAATGATGCCTTAAACCGCCATCATAACTCATATTTAACTTTAGCCTGGGACATGAGAAACATCTGCTTCCAACAAGATTCTTGTATGTGTGAATATACTGAAATTCATTAAGAATATTCTCAAGAAAAGAGCTGTGTAAAATTCATTAGCATTACTCCTATCTCATCACATTCAATCATTACAAACACGACTGTCTCTTAAACTCCTGTAATGACTCATGTTTTTTTCACACCAATAATCATAAGAGAGGCTGGATTTTTCTTTTTCAAATGCTGAACATCTTTTTTGGCACACTCTCCTGTCAAAGGCGGTTGAATTAAGTGCAGTTGGTTAAATTTAGGAAGGAATGACAATACAATAATGGCTCTATTATCTTATGACTTATTGTCTCTGGAGGTAAAGCACTTATATTTAAATTCATTTGAGGGTTTGGCACTGATCTCTTTGTTTCTATGTCGACCTCTAGAGAACAGCTGCTGCCTTGGCAACAATGAATGGGGACACAAAATGATGCTAAACAATAGAGGATAAAAATTGAAAATCTCCAATGTGTTTTGGCCTGTGCCTTGATTGGGGAACATAAAAAGACAATAAAGGCGTTAAATAAGAGGGGCCTCGCAGTTAGAAAACATGTTTTGGAAATAAAAAGGTTATAAGTTTGGGAGCATCTTCAAGTAAGTTTAGGATATCTTCAAATTCCTTAAATGGAGCTCAAACAATACCACAGTATGTCACAAAGTAAGAGATTGAGCAATCACTGTGTTTACACTTAGGTTGCTTCAACAATTTTATTTCATAATTTTGTAAAAATGTTAAATGTCTATTCCTGACAAACAAGACGCTCAAAAAAGCTCTCAAGAGTAAATTATTAAAATATATATTTATAGATGCATTCAAGAAACGATTTAATGTTTCAGTTATCTTCTATTAAAATGCCGTGACAGACTATAGAGATAAATAAAGTTTTCACAGGCCTTCATAGGAATTAAGAGGATAAGTAGTAGCATAGTGCTGCAAATCACATGCACTTGATTATTGATCATCCGCATGTGCGAGCTCCTCTCTAAAAGCACAAGTTTCGACAGTTTGCAGGTCTGGAGTATTCATGTGTTTGTTAACACAATGCAACAATCCTCCCATGAGTGGCCGTCCCAGCAAATTCACCCCAAGGTCAGACTGCAAGACTGCAGAGATACTATTAAAAGCAAAGAGCTACACTGCAGACTCTTCAGGGCTCCATTAGCCATGTTAAATATTAAAGTTAATGACAGTACAATTAGAAAAATAATGAAACCTCTTATTTCTAAAAAGAGCATGGTAGCACAGGTTAAGAATAATGCACAGCGCTTGTTTTGGCAAAAACCACAACGTATCAGGACAAATACCTTCTACCAACTTTCTAGTATGGTGACAGAGTGCTGATGATTTGGGCTTGTTTTGCAGTCACTAGACCTGGGCAGTTTACAGTTACTGAGTCAACCATGAACTCTGTAGTGGACTGTATCCTTATGTTAAATATGAAGCTGTCTGTCTGCCGGCTAAAACTTGGCCAAACAGTCTCACTCGACAGGATGGTCATCTCAACAATACCAGCAAATCTACAACAGAAAAAGAAAAGAATCCTAGTATTTCAATGGTCCCTGACAGAACCTGACTGAAACGCTATAGTGAGACTTGAAGGGGGTTGTTGCCATTGCACATTGTACTTTTTTGATGACAAATATAGGTTGTTTTCTCAGGCTTATATTATATTATATCATTTTGGAGTGTGTATGTGATGTGTTGGTTGTCTGTCTGTTTGTTTGTTTGTACGGACATACTGCAAATCAATTTCCTGTTAGGGACAATAAAGTTACCAAAGTAAAGTTACCAAAGAAGAGAGCTACCTACAAACCTCAATGAAGTGAAACAGCCCTAAAAAGAAGACTGAGCTAAAATTTCTCCACAACAGCGCGAGAGACTGACAAAGTCAAAGTAAACAATTACTTCAAGTTATTGCTGTTGAAGGTGGTTCTAAAAGCCAGTGAATCATGGGGTGTACTTATTTTTTCACAGAATTGCATTGAGTCCTGTGAACACTCACTTTATCACATGATTATGTAGTAATTTGAAATGGAATTTGTGTGGGCATTCAAGGTTTAAAGAGTTTTAAGAACATGAATCTCCCCTTACTAAAAAGAAAAAAACATGTGCAAGGTTTAATAAATACACAATTACTGAGAAAAGAGAAAACTAATTAACCACTAACCAAGTATTAGGGACAGTTTCAAGTTTTATTTTGGGGTCTCTTTTGAATGAAGTGGACATTATATAGCTGTCGAGCTATACCGCAAGTCTTCCACTAATCACACAGACAATTGATGGTTTAGTTCTTGACTGCTCGCGGTGACCAAGACAATGAACCTCTATCGCTTTGCGTGTGTGAGAATTGCAAGATACGTTTTCCTCCACCTGTGTCAATGACTTGAATTTACTGGTACAGGCCAAAGTCACAACACCTTCTCCAAAATAAAAGTGTTAGAAATAGGGTGAAAAAAAAGTGCTGCACGTGGTCACATGTTTCAAACATTTTTAGTTTTAAAACAGTTTTAAAGTAAGAAACACACTATATTATACTGCATAGTATTATTTATAATGAACATCTCAAATGCACTCTATAACTGCAATAAATCAATGATATTAACACTACCAAGCAATAAATGATACTGACGTTCAATGTCACTGAAAATGTAGGAGCCGATGAAGGAGAACATGAGCACTGAGATTGGCAGGGCACAGTCCGACAGCACCTCCCTCACTTTGGCATGCAGGAACGGACTTGAAGAGAGAGAGGGAGAAAGGAGAAGGGAGTGAGGAGGGAGAGACAAATAATAGAGGAATACAATTACTGTGGACAAGACAAGGACAATGGCTGCAATCCTGACACTGCTTAAGTACCTTGGTCCGCCTTTTACTTACACAATTGAATTGAGCTTTGAGGTTGATTTGATTACTGGGAGCAATCAGAAGTAGAATATTAATGCTTATTAAATCACAGGCTGGAACAGAAGCTTCGACTGAAAAGTGAGCTTTGTAAGAGCTGTCTGGAAAGTTCCTGTAAGCTCTGTCACTCCTGCAATCTTTAGAGTCAAGGCCCTACTCAGCGGTATTCATGCTAGCAGGCAGTGCTCCCATCCAAACACAATTTAAACTTCTCCAGTGATTTATGTTAAGACTGCTGCAGCACTGCAGTGCTGCACATACCTCCTTTTGAACTGGTAGAGAGTATAGCCCATCCATAATGTCCCGAGCATCAGCAGGAGGCAGAGGACAGGTCTCTCTCGACTGCACTGGATGAAGGATTCAGTAAGTGCAAACCCCGTGACCACCTCACTCCTGTTTCCCCCCAGCAGGTCTCCACCTTGAGGAAAGTCCCCTATGCTTCTGTTGGCCAGTGTTGGAGCGTGGTAGTACCTATGAAAGACTGAAATCACATTCACAGTGTTTAGCTATAAACAGTGTTGGGGAGTAACGAAATACATGTTCTGGGGTTACGTATTTAAAATACAAAATAAGTAACTGTATTCCATTACAGTTACCGCTTAAATTGTGATAATTAGAATACAATTACTTTGTTGAAATAAATGTATTACACGGCTGTCTTTTCCTGTTTCATATTTTAGGCTATGCCCTCTCTATCCCCTCTCTAATTTTTGTAATACCACGCACTGCCAGAAACCCAAACAAAAGAGGCTCTAATGCAAGCGTCCTGTTAATGTTGGTGGTGTCAGTTACACAATGGACCCGGAGCCAGCAGTGCACGGGCAGGAATGCGTTTCTTACTTGGAAATTCCAACACCACTTCACATTTAAAGAACAAAGGGATGGGCGAAATCTGACCGTGCAATGCAAACTCTGTTTATCAGCAACCATCTGGAAGTCAGTTCGTTTTTAAAAACAAACGTTAGCCTACTGCAACTACCTTGTTTTAGTTGTGGTTATGTGCTACTTCAGTATCGTCAATGTACTATTGGTGTGTGATTTATTACTATTAATGAAGGCTGCATTACAATCTGGTAGCTAACAATGTTAGCTCGGTGGCGAGTAGCCTTCAGTAATAGTAACAAATCACACAGGAATAGTAGTTGTGAAAAGCATGACAATATATCAAGTAATCCAAGTAATCCAAAGTATTCAGAATACATTACTCACATTGAGTAACTTAACGGAATACGTTACAAACTACATTTTGGGCATGTATTCTGTAATCTGTATTGGAATACATTTTAAAAGTAACCTTTGCAACACTGGCTATAAAATGCATCGTTAGTGTCAACAGATTCCATGTGAACCATCAGAGATACAATGAACGGACAATAACAACAAGTATGCTGCCAAAGTCTGGTATAGTAAATGAAGCAATATCACAGATCTCAAATGAAATCCAAAACTTACAGCTGACATATTTATAATCCTTTAAAAAATATTGATTGGATTCCTATTAAACAGGAAAATCTTGAAATCTTTCAAGAAGCCTTGTATATAACCTAACCAAAGCTACAAAAAAATGTCCATCATGCTCAGGTTGCATTGTTCATGTTGCAGTCAACACAGAAAAGGCAAAGAAACAAGTCTTTTAATAATGCTTAAATCTTTCATGAAGAGGCACGTGAGAGTAACTGTCAGTACTGCTGGGGATAAAACTTTGAAAGCGAGATAAATCTCATCTGAGTTATGCCTCTACACTGAATGCCCATCAACCAGGCTGTAAAATACTCAAGGTGCTATTTTTCTTGTATGTTTGGGTGTTTGATGCCAGTGTTCTCTGTCCAACCACTAAATGAACCAGTAACCTTTGTGATAATCTAAACTAATCAAATTTAGCAGAATAGGCAGAGTCTGGATTAGGGGTGAAATGATGGGGAAACAGCACAGAATACATTATCTACACCTGCTTTAACAAACTCTGCCTAGTTTGCTTAAATCAGTCTTTGCACCCATAAGGACTGCAGAATAAATAGCTCACCAACTGTAATGTGTGGCTAAAGGCTGGGATTTTAAACTCAGTGGAGATGGTTTTCCTGCCATTGTGACTTAGAATGAATGCACAACTTTGTCTCTATTAATTTCATAATGAGTGCAACATAATACCTTCTAACATCACTTTTGAGGAATAGTGTGCGAGATGACTAGCTCCCTCCACAGGTCTTTTCATCAAACAGGGATAAAGTTACAGGCTAGGCGAGGTTGTGCAGGTGACTAGATACAGCCCCAAACTGTATTCATTTGTGTTAGTGGAAAATATTTTGGAGGAACAGTGTCAGCAAAATAGCATAGGTTAATGTTATGGTAATGGCATATGAGCTCGGAGCGTATTTTACAAATGGCTTCTGAAAATTGAACTACTGCACTGGCAATCTACAAAACAGGAGAACACTGCATTCAAAATAAATTACATTCAGCTATCGTCATCTCATTTTTGTGAAATTAAATTGTGTAAAATATTTATGATAAGGGACCATAAAAGCTGGAGTGGTATAATATAGCTGCAGATGGGGTTCAAAATCTGGACTGATTAATTTCTAAAGCCTCTCAACCTGCTGACCCACAACAGTAACAAATGACCTTGTATGGTATTTCTGCCTCCCTACTATTTTAAAAGGTAATATTTCTCAACTCTTGGCCAAACATATGCTTGTTTATCTAAATTTAGTAATTGAGATCATATTATTATATTACCCGTGGTTCACTAGTAAGTCATTTGGCAGGTGACTGTCTAACACTCTTTTGGCCTTTTATGTTTTGCTGTCAGGGTATTAAATATAAGTCTTTAGCTGTTATTATGAAAGAATTCTATCTGGCCTCACTATCACAATAAACACAGTTTGTTTCTTGATAAGTATTCGATTTTAAGAGGTGCAGAGGACTGCAGAAGGAATATACAAACACTGGATAAAAACTATTTGACAGTTTTTAATTAAAAGGACTAAATGATTAGTTGAAGAGATCTTATGACTCTTAGCTGCCCACTTAAATGATAATCTCAAAATTCACTTACACATAATAATGTGTATGTATGTGGCAGTGAAGGCTTTTATCTTCTTTATCTTTCGGGGCTTAGAAATCACATCAGACATGAGCTTGCGGCAGATTCGACAGCAGGTGTGTTGAGTTAGCAGACTACTTGATTTGATTTTCACCACAGAAAGGCAACGGGTAAACAACTCACAGAAAAAAAAAAAAAAAAAAGATATTTCTCGTGTGTGTCATGAACTTACTTTTGACTGTGCCTTTCACAGCATCAACCACAAAAGCAATGGAAATGAACAGGGCAATGACCTCCTCTGTTGACCTAAACACATTACACAATTAAGACCGTTGTAAGACAGTAAAAACTAATATAAATAACATATAAATAAAAAGGACACCCATAATAAAAAAAAAAAACACATAAGGAAATGAAAATTAATGAATTAACAAACATATTTTCAGAATAAAGTGTGCATTACTGTTTTCTTATAATTGATACTTTTTTTACACCCTTGTGTTTTTAGGGTACATGAAAGGTTTTTCTTGTATTAGCTGCATTAGTCCAATTAGAGATCATAGGTGGCACAGCTGTGGTTACCAAGTTTCTTTGTTAACCCGGGTTTTCATAGAGAGCTCAAATAGAACGGCTGTTTGACGGCTTGTTTGAACCTCCTTCCATAGAAAATGCAGCGACTACTTCAGTCAAGAGGAACACGTCACAGAGCTCGACTATGACACAAACACGCATTGTCTAAAGGCAAGACAGGAATGTCGCAAACATTGTTAATGTTATAAATTCATTAGTTAAATATTTATTTCAACACAGAACTTACTATCAGCATTGTCATTTAACCTTAAGGTTCCACATTAGAGCTTATAAATACTTCAAATGGAAGCTCAGGAATACTCAGGAAGTCCATTTAAGTCTGACACTGACCAATAATGAAGAATAACCCTCCATGGAAATTACTTTAATCTCTGGCCAACATGAAGTTAATTTCACTGCCTATATAAGACACTCTGTGATAAATACATACAGAGTAATTCATTTTATAATCTCCATTAGCTGATATACTGGCAGTATGACACCAACTTTGCAATAAAATACAACTATAATGCATCACCAACTAAATGGATGCGGTTCCTAAGATAACACAGTAGCAGGATTTACAGGTCAGTATCATAAAACCAGCCGAACAGCAAATTGCTGCAAGTCCCATAACGAGAGTTGGCGCTGTTAGCCAAGTACCGAGTGGGAAGTGCATTACAGCTGGTAGGTATTTGAATGCATGCTGGTCTGGCAGAATTTGAGTATAAATATATTTATTAATCAAAATTATGGACTCTTATGTATGGAAATTTCAATGCAAGATATTTCCCAATCTGTGAACCAAAACAAAACTAAAAACTGTGTTTCAAATTTACTCAAACTGTGTAACACATACTTTTTTCAAATTAACCAGAGTTGCACTGATTGCAATGTTATGCCACACATGCCTGGAGAGTAAATATAAACTACCTTTAAAATAAGTAAATGGAGCACATAGCAGTTAAAACTACTTAAAAATACTAGAATATAAAAATGATAATACATTTCAAACATTGATTGTGTGCATTCTTTAAAAACATCCTGCTGTCCCAAAAAGTTTTCTGTTGTTACAAGACAACTTAAAACATTTTTCTATATGACAGAAAGCAACCAAAATAAAAGGAAACTCAAAGTGATTAAAAAATTTGTACTTTAAAAATTAAAGTATGCCAACATATAAAATCAGGAATATGAAGGACACCTTTTGAAGAGCTTCATGAGCAGACTGACATTGAAGATTCCTCCCAGGATGAGAAAGAGGCAGTTCCACAACCCAATGCAGGCGTAGAAAGCTGGGAAATCCAGGTTGTAGTCGTCACAGATTCCTCGGATCACTGTGTTCCAGTTGCACATGTGCACATGTAAACAGACAGACAAATAAACCACATATAATAAATACACATTATGAAACTAAGTAACACAATTGCTATGCTAATTTTGTGCTAGTGAGAAAAAAATGTTACAAAAGAACTTCATTACAGATTTCTCTCCCAGCAAAGACTGACTTGTACACACACAAGTACAGACACATAAACAATGACTGGAAAAATTTTTAATTCATTCAAACATGAAAGGACAAAAAGAACTGTAATAGGTTTGTTAAAACCATAACAATTTTAGTTGTAATCTTGAGCAGATTTGTACGCAGATGAGTTACAGCTTTACAAACAAGCCATTGTTCTGCTCAGACAGGCTGCTGGAAATGTGCTATAATTATGCCCATGAGAATGCGCATAGCACAGTTCTAACCCATTTACTTCAAAGATCATCACACCACAAACCTAACAAACAGCCTTGGTATTAAAACTACATCTTGGCATCGGAGTTGCTGCTTTTCCTCATCATGGCCTGATACTGCAGCTTCCAGCCGTCAAGATCGTTTAAATTCCAACCAACAAAACATCGCTGTTGGGTAAAAACCATGTAACAGTTTATGCGCTGTCTCTCTCTGAACTGAACCTAAAGTTTACATGTTTGTGAATGCGATGAGTGACTCTCCTGACCCGCAGGCCCCTGGAACCAATCATTACATAACCACAGTGCGCAAAAAAAAAAAAGTTCTGCTCCTCATTCTTGAAAAAAAAGAAACAAGTTTTTGAAGATTTGTGCTTTTTGCTTGACTGCACCAGGAACACTCATTAAGGGCACATGTGTGAGCTAACAGCTTAATTACTCTAGTGGTAGCGCTTTCTGGTAAAAGCAAGAGCAGATGAGGACAAGAGTTTTTGGCTGGTGTTCGACATGGTTGGGTGCTTCTTTTTCTTGATTTTTGACGTAATCTTCTTAGTACTCCACCCACTCCCAGCCTTCCATTCAAACTGGCTGTCAGCAGAAACTGTGAAAAGATAAGTGCATCTTGATTGAGATGAGCTGAATGACAGCGGGGAAGCCTACCGCTGATGAAAATGGCGAGGGGAGCTGTGGTTAGAGGGATGACTAGAGGAGAGCCGGCAAACAACGAGTAGATGACCCCACCGATACTCTGGCCAATGATGGTCTTCCGAACATCTGGAGAGAGATGACACACAGAGAACACGCAGCGTGAAGCTCTGATTAATGTGCATGAGTGACTGCTAGGGTTCCTGTGAAGCTGAAGTAAGTTACATATTAATTTTTCAGATAAGATACGTTAACTTTGGAAATAATATGTATATTTTTTCCTTTTCGTTTTTTAAACAAAACAGCTAACATGATGCCTTTTCCACCCCCACTGAGTACATAATTATGTGAATATTTTCCAAAAAAGAGGTTTCAATGTTTCACTGTTTTACTATGTGTATGGTCACCTGAAACTTGCAACTTTTGAACAATCATCAGCTCACATTTATATGTCTTAAGCTCAGACTTAAAACAGAAAAAAAGTGAAGGTCAAACATACAAGAGAAAAATACTTAGTAAGGAAAGTGCTTACTCATATAGCATAATGAATAAAGGAGAATTACTACTAGATTTTGGCACTACTTACAGAGACCAAACGTAGCCCTTTCTGGTCTTATCCACCAGTATTGTGCAACAGTTTTGAGCCACTACTCATTTGTTTAGATTTTTCTCTCAAGGAGCTAGAAATTCTTGTGATTTAAAAAAAAAAAAGTGGTCTTACAAATTGGCACCATTGAGTCTATTCTGTATTTCCCCATATGTCTGGATGTTTTGATAAATTACTGTAAGTTTTTCCAATTTTCCTAGCCAAATATAAAGAAATAAGACTTCTGCACACTAATGTGTTACTATTTAATCTCAGTGCATTCATTAGCCATGTTATCAGCTAGAAGGTAAAGAAAGTAGCTAAATCACATTTTTCTGAGCTAAAAGCATAAAAACTGGGTATTGTGAATTTTAAACAGGTGCTAATATTTGCTTATTACTTGTCAACTATGGAAATAAGGAACTGCTTTGTTTATTTTGAAATGTCCAGTAGTGGAAAGTTATAAAATTACATTTTTTTAAAGTGATTGGCTGTTTATGTTCTCTAAATATTTTTGTACAAAAGGAAGATTATTTTCAGTTGAATTAATTTTATTTATTTAGCGCAAATTCACAACAGTCACCTCGTGGCATTTTACATTGTTGGGTAAATGCCCTAAAATACTAGACTTGCTAACCATGTCATAGGTCTGTTGTGGGTGTGTGTGTGTGGGCTGTTCATTGCTTTGTGTGTGTACTGAATTGTTTGACATTCTTTGTTAAAACTTCATTAAAATTATTAAAAAAAAAATGTGTACTGTGTTTCATAATACTGCCTCAAGGAATTGTTTATTATGTAAAAAAGTGTTTTAATGTGTGAAAATACCCCATATACATGAAATGGAGATTATCATATAGATATGATTCAAAACATTGCAGTATATTCTAATCTATGTAGTAAAATACTGTGGTCAGTGGTTTTGCACTGAGGTCTAGCAGGACAAGCACAGAGATGACAGAGACCAAAAGAAGCTTATTGGCAACCTTCATTAATGCTGCTTCTGTGTTATAATGAACTCTAAATCCTGACAAAAACTCTTCTTTCTATTTTTAAACTTTTATTTTTCAACAGTTATTTTCTTAAACAATTGATAAAATAGCTGTTTTTACACCCAGCACTTGATACTGACATGGAAAAATTTGCAGGAGCTCAAGAATCCCAATCGGAGAAAAGCGTTCATGTTTCTAGATTTAAGTACATGTTCATACCGATCTCGCCACGTGTGCTCTCATCATTGAGGGAGCCGAAAGCAATGGCAGGGAGGAGGATGGCAATGTAGAGGAAGATGGCTGTGGTCATGTACTTCAGCAGGGTTTTATTACTGCCAACTATACCTGAGGGGAGACAAACACAAACACATGAGTCATATTCACCTCATAATGGAGCGGAGGAGGCTCAACACTTTAATTTCAAAACGGCAAGAACATTAGCACAGTTCATCATTCAGTGCCTCTACATCTATAAACACCCAGTTCATACAGTAAAAATATTCTACGGAGGATTACGCTACCTGCTGCCCTTTTAAAATATGAGTCATTTGTTTTGGTTTCGTGTCATCCATCATTTTGCAAGAGCAGTTACCCAAATGATGGATAACTCATTTTGGAATAAAACACTTTAATTGGGCTCTAATGTGATCACAACAATTTTGGTCCTGTGACCTTCATCAGATAATCATTCTCTGATGACGCTCACAAGACAGAAATATCTTGATTTTGTTACTGCCCAGTCAATGTGTTTGGTTGGTGTGACACGAGGAAAGACTGAAAGAAAACAGATGAAGAGGAAATGCTCCTAGAAAACTCTTTACTCCGTCTGCTTTTCTTTACAACAGACAACAATATTGAATTACACAGATTAATCTAAAATATTTCTACACAAGCTATTCTAGCAACTAATTAACTAACATTAAAAGAAAATACTCAACACAGAGTAAGATGTACATTTATTTGACTTGAGACACAAAAGCTCTTTCATGTTTGGCAGCAGTGTGACTTGATGAGTCGATAAAACCACCAGCTAGATGTGTTTGCAATGAGAATGTATAGTATGCGACGTGTGTGAAAGTCTCGTGTCTGATGACTGAATACTGGACATATGGAAACATATGAGAGCAGTAAGGCATCCGAGATTTTATGTCATTTTAGCAGGAGATGACCCTAGACGTGACACAGATGCAGCACAGATGTAACTGAGGCAAAGGGTGACAGACAAATGAGGAGCTGCCAGAAGTACCACAGTGTGCCATAACAAGCAAGATGATTCATTTTCACTACAAGTTCAGGTCCAGCCTACCATCTGTGAAGTCAGAGGGGTAGAAAGGCAGCCTGCGGCAAAAGTCCTCATAAATTCCCCGGCCAGCTTTGAAGAAATCTTTACACTGTGAAGATAAGACAAAAGATTACTTTTTAAAAATGAGAAATAGTCTCACTGATGGAGTCCCACCTGTACCACCTTTCGTCAGGAGAATTACGTATCACACTGTAGAACAAGAGCAAAGGAATCAACGCTGTGATATAAAATGAAATAATGTTAAACAAACCAACATATGTTCCACATTATAGAAGAAAAAGCCACTCTATGGCTTGATGACGACACACTAGCGGCAGTATCTTCACGATGATGTGAGCTGGGATGTTTTCCAAAGAGAACTGTACCTTTTTACAATGCAAAGTATCAGACACTTAGATGAAGATGCCTCTCATACAGACCACTCGAAGAAAGGAAGACAAAGAGTTTCCCTGCTGCAGAGTTTAAGTTCATTAGAGTTACCAGCTTTAGAAAGCAGCAATTAACAGCATCTCAGATTAGTGCCAGGAGTTCAAATAGCAGATACATCTCAGCATCAGCTGCTTAGAGGAAAACCTGCGGCACAGACGCCACTATTGAGGAAGAACAATGATAAGAATTTGGCTCAGTCAAGGAGCACAAGGAGTAGAAATCTTTTTTTTTTTTTCCCCCATCCTAGTCCGATTACGATGTCAACTAGGTGAATCTTTGGTATCTGACATTAAAGAAAAGATGGTGGCACAGGGGTCAAACGACTAAAATCGGCCAACACACAACCCCAGGGAGATAGGGGTTGTGTGGCTGTTGATTTATAGGTCCAGGCTGGTTACCTAATGGCCAGATACTGTTTCTAATGAAGAAGCAAAACTGATGGAGCGACTTTTTCTCTGTCGAATCTGGATTTGGGTGCACAGTAACATCACTGTATCACATGTAGGTCGTTCTGCCAGTATTATTTTCCCTGTCTATAGGAGGCATCGCCCCAAAGTAGCTGAAACTAAACGGAGATGAGCATTTCAATTAAACCCATAATCTTAAATTATGTCCCTCTTGATGCATATGGCTCTGTTTTGCTTTTAGGCATTTTGCTAATTTAGTCTGCCTTATCCACAGTGACCTTGAAGAGTAATAAAAGCCAGAGGCTGTATCCAGCTCTGAAACCTCGTTTTATTTTAAACACGCATTGCAATGGACAATGACACATTTAGATTAAAAGTTGCACATTTGATGATTCAGCTAAGACGCTGGTGATTCCACTGGGGGATCTTTGAAAGATCATTTGAGTCATGACCATTAATGGCGTAGTTCTTAAAAATCATATAATCTAAAACATAGCAAGTAAAGCAGCATATTTGGATTTGGATGTACATTTAATGGGATCCCCGTGTCTCCAAAAATGACTGGGAAAGACAGAGAGACGACAGCATCAGTGACGGAGAGAAGACTCAGCATAATTTTACACAAGACAGGAAGAGAATGGTTATAAAGAGTCATGTGATTTAAAAGGAGACGTGAAGTGTTTCATTTTAAAAGATGAGCTTTCAGGTTACACCAGACAGGGAGTAAATGTGTAGCCCTGATTAAGCTTATTAAGCAAATTATCCAATTACCCAGTGTTTCATTTTCTTGTTGAACATAGTATTACGCAATGAAGTGGAACGGATGATGATAGGGGGTGGGTGAGTGGGAAAAGCTCCCAGGAAAATCATTCTGGCCTCATTTGTCATCCTAAAAAGTTTGGATGTCTATGACAGATCAAAGGTATTTACATCACATGTAAACGACTTTTTTTTCTCCAAGCTGGCTAGATTTAGCTACACATGCTTGCTCGACAACGACTGTTCATTCATTAAATCCCTATACATCATGGAATTATTTATTATTGCAAGGAACAATGTGTGTGTTTGTGTGTGTGGGGTGAGGGGGTTGCAATCACCAGCTTTTGGCTCAAGTTCGATAAACAAAAGTCTCAGAGAGGAATTACCGTCCACCTGTTTGCCATTCGTTCTGATGGAGTGAGGGAACAGAAAGGAAAAACATAAAAACACAGCAGCAATTTGACCTTTTTTCTTAAAGTACTGGAAAGTGGTTTGCTGTTGCGGGTGGTCCAGTGTCAATTTTGGATGTGGAACAAGGAGAAGGTGGACTGGCTGGCTTTTTTCCTGTAATTTTCTTTCCTATTTTATCATTTTCCGTTTCCTCTTCATTCCACCTGCTCCCCCTCCCCCATCACTTCTTTCCCTTTTCACTCCATCTGTCTTTCCCCATATAGCCCTCTGTCTCTGAGTGGCACTGAGCCTTTCAAGCCCTGGGATAAACACCTAACAAAATCCTTTGCTGTATAAAAAACAAACAAAAAAAACAAGGGGAAATGTCTAGGAGCTGTGGCATGCCAGTGGCAACATTAGGAAGACATGTCGGTCCGTGGCATTGAGTAGAGCCCCTCTGGAGGTGTGTGTGCACGTGTGTGTGTGTGTGTGTGTGTGTGTGTGCCGGCGAGCACATGCACATGTAACTAAGGCGTGGGGAGTTCTGACAGGACTGTGAGAGATGTAAGGTCATTTACCCACTGAGGAGGCCTGGCAGGAGTTGATGCTGATTGATTAGGGGGAGAGAAAAGATTGAAGAGTCAAGCCAGTCGAGCGAGGAGGAGAGGAGGAGTGAAGGGGGAGGAGGAAATGGTGCTGAAGGTTGACGAAGGGAGAGAAAGAAAGAAAGAAATACAAGAGAAATAAAAATAAATAAATAATTGTACTGTATGTGCGCAGTTCTCTATTCTATACACAATCATAAGGATGTGAGATGATCAAGAAATGAGCGAAAGGTAAGGGGGGATGAGGCAAACGGAGGAAAGGAAGAAGACCTCAAATATAACATCATCACAAGTTCTAACCAATCACAGGCACCATTTCAGGGCACCAAGCACGACTCGTAATGCCTTCACATCACTTCAAAATGTGCGGAAACGTGTCTAATCACCCAGCACTGACACACACTCGCACACTCATAGATTTTCCTTGCTGACCTTGAGGGGTTTATGACTGCGAGGGTCAGTCTCCTCCTTCCCCAGAGCCGTTGGCTTCTGGTTTGCTGCCGTGAGCTGGTGCCTCTGGAACACCAACGCTTCCTTAAACTCCTCCTGTGTCTTTGTCTCCAGGAGCTTCTGCCTGAAGGAGATGTCGGAGAAGAGGGTGGCGAATGTGCGACCCAGCTCCATCGCAGTCTTGGTACTTTTCTACGAAAAAAAAAAAGCAAAGCGATACAAAATTTAAATCACGAATACCTCCTACATTTCTTTGCCGATCATCCGTTTGTTCTATACAGTTGTTTGTATACCGATCAATCACTACATGTGTAACTGCCTGTTTTAAAAAATATATAGGTACATAGAAAGGCAAAGGTGGGCGAGGGGTGGGAGCATACTGTCTTTAACTAGGTTATTTTAAAACTGTGTTTGCGACATACCAAATATTAGAATTAATACCAGCTGCAGAGGTGTTATTGATATGTTTTTCTGTGACCCGGGGCCTGCACTGCAGATATACAAAACTTCAAAATCTCTTTTACAAAGGAGAGACTTTTTCATACTAAAGAAATACTTTTTAATTGCAAAACATATTTAAGTATTTAAGGTCAATAGTTTGCCCATGCCAACTGGAAAAATGTGCTTGTAGAAATTGATGAGCACCCTGCTGCCAACATAAAACTCAGAGGGCAGCATGTCAGACAGGCAAAAAGCTAGAGGAGTTTCTTTGAGGGTAACATTACATGAAACAGTTAATGAAAACAGAACTTTTTTTTTTTTTAAACAAAGGTCATGTCTTTATACCATATTCAGTCTGGTTAAAGAGAGGAAGGAAAAACAGGGGGAAACAGTTTCTAGACAGCTCTGTAAATGGTGGTTGATGGAAATGGTCCATTCTTACACATGCTAGATCACATACATTTGCCAACCAAAGGAATTTCTATCATCATTACCATCATGCCCCTTCAAAGATTTTTCTCTGAGAAGCATTCACCATCAAGGATAATTGAGGCATAATAATGCTTTATGTTTACTTGGGGCTTAGATTAATGTCTCTGAAAATACCATTAGTGGTTCTGATTGCTGCCAATAAGACTGGCGAGGAGGGTGCTGTAGGCACCACTGAAAGAAATAAACATAAATGAGGGTTCATGGGAAAAGAGATAGAAACAAGCAAATATACAGAAAACATAATGCAACAAGCTGAAGCATAACCGATAACCAGGTTTCCTCTTCCTCGACTGACCACCTACCCAGTGGTGAAAATTACATACTTAGGAGGATACCAAAGTAAAAGTGAGGAAAGCATGAAATCTCTCTTCTTCCCAGCAGGATGGGGGTTGGGAAGTAGAGGGTTTTCACCTGGTTTGGGGCAACAATCAGAGTCAACTGAAGGAGGGAGTGAAGTGTGTGTATGCGAGTGGAAAGCTGAGGATGAAGCAGTGGAGGACAGAAGGGATGAGTGGGTTGATGGGAAGGAGAAAGAGTTCATGGTTTTGATGGGAGGGAGGGACATTACAGGATATGGGTCTCTCCAGAAGCTCTTCAGAGCTGAAGAAAAACAGCAAACACAAACACAACAGTGACCCGAAAAGTTCAGCCACAGAGAGGCCCTTGAACTGATTTCAGTTCAGGAGTCAATTTGGCCATTTAGCAGTTCTGACATCATATCTGTCAGTGTTTCCGATATCTTCAGATACATATCTAAATATATGTATATAACGCAGAAATAGACAGATTATATCTTCACAAATAACAACCGTATAGACCCTAAACATCATGCGGCCTAACCAATATTTAATTTGTGGTGCTACAATCATGTAACATTATATAATAATATATAATAGATTTGTGGTTTCTTCTGCTTTGCATTTTGAATTAAAATAGCAGAAAATCCTTTAAAGCCAATCTGTGCATTTTTTGTACAAAAAAAACCAAACAAACAATAAAGATAAGAATTATACTGATTTTATAATTTTATTCAAAAATGAATTTGCTTTGAATTATTTTTTTAACCTAACTGGACAGGTCGACGGGCACAATAAGTGATTTTGCAAGAGCAGAACAATAAAACAGATTTTTAATTACCAGGAAAAATATTTTGTTAAATCACACTGGGCTACAAGTGAACATGAAATGAAATAATCAAAATGAATAAATGAAATAGGAACTAATTAACAAGTGACTAACCAGCGAAGACATAAATCTCATGTATCATTCCCTATGCCTGTGGGTTAGTTACCATTTTGAGAGGGGCCAGTATCAGGATGACATAGCGGACCTCGCAGCAGTTCTCCCCCCAGTTTTGTGGCCTCTCCAGGCGGGAGATGCACACATGACGTTTCTGGAGATGCTTCACGTTGCAGCTGGAGCACAGAGGGAAAAGAAGGAGGTTTTATAAATGTCAACACCTCACTTCACCGTCAGCGCCCTTCATTTCCATAGATTAACCTCTTTCTCGACAGCAACACTTAGACAATATTCAAATATGCCAGGTGAGCTTGCATTCACAGTATAGGAATGCATGTGAACATACATACATAATATTTAAATATCACGTCATGCATATTTAAACATGGTCAGTGTAAAAAGGCTTTTTAAAGATTCATATAATTTCCATGCTCAGAAAACCACTCAGTGATGCTTCCTGGCTTATCATCCTCAAAGACGGCACTCCCATGTGGTAATGTTTGATCATAATATGACGGGTATCACTCAAAACTTTGCATTTCTGTTTATTTTACTTGCCCCCTTTCCTCTAAGAAGGAAAGTATACAAACCACACCAGTGAAAACGCCACCTAGTTCCCAAGATCCCTACCTTACTAAATTTTCACCTCTCAATCCTAGTCTCAGTCGCCTGAGGTTACTTCTTCCTTCCATCCTTACGAATGTCTTTTTCACAGATCTAAATCCAAATGTCACTTGAGTCACTAGTCCCAGTAAAACACTAGCCAATTGAACAGTCTTTGTTACTGAAACTCCTGCCATCTGTTCCCCCCAAAATGAACACACTTTCAAAGTCTCTTAGATCTTTTCCTCTTGGCATCTTGATACAAAATCAGAATATGCTTAGCATTTTTAGACCTGCAACAGAGAATGATTGGATATTAACTGCCTAATTGTAACAAGCGGCACACACGTGGAAGCATCTGCATTTCTGTGTTTCGCCGTTTGTTCATTTATACTTTTTTCCCCCTGATTTGTTACTCGTTTGTATTATTGACATTTATGCACAGCTGACCCTGGATACATTTTTTTAAAAAGAGATTATATATTATTTCAGTTGTACTTGATTTGGTGATGATGTCATCCTTTCCTTTGCATTACGTTTACCACCAGGAAGCCTGTTAACATGACACGAGAAGAAAAAAATATCCACCTGCAGTGACTGAATGCTCCAGAGCGCACTTTGCGATTGTTCTCTGCTTCTTCAGCGTGGAGATGACCACCAATTTGAAAGGTAGGGAAGTAAGTGCAAGTAATTTACTAACTTGCACATTCAGTCAGATAATCGACTATAGGACAGAGCAGAGAAGGCTGTGTTGCAACACAGGTAGGGTGACTTCATTCTCTATGAAGGACACCATACCGCGGCAGCTGTATTCAGCACTTATTGTAATATGCTAAAATCAAAATCTTGTTTTCAATGTGAGTAGTAATGTATGTAACATAAAATACACCTATAATCTATAGTGATGATGAGCGTGAATGTTAAAAATAATCAATTTATAACTACATAAAAGCATAAATGAGTAATAAGAGAAAGCATCTTATAACACATTATTATAAATACAACTCTTTCTCTCGGCTCCCTCACACACATGTACATACACACATATATTTTGCTTACAGGATGCAAAGCCAGGACTGCTGGTACTGGACCCCTGTGGCGGTTGCTGTAACTCCCTGGATCGTCTCTGAAAGCAGGTGAACTGCAGACCAAAAAGTCAGAAGTCAAACAAATGATCTGAGATCAAGTGTCACATACTCGAAGCCCCCCTGAAAAGTGTTTAACTCCTGTGTGTGCGCGTCTTAGAAATCCATGTCAACCCTTAAGAGTAGCTGACTGTAACAGTGTTAAACTCTATAAAAACGCGTCACCACATTAATAGGAGTACCTACTGTTTAAGTTTACAAAATTCATGCATTTGAAAACACAAATTAGCTTAGATTTCATTTTTTAATATGGCCCAAAAGGCATCATTTAAAAGCCTAAAAACATTCAACTGAAATCTTGTGCCTTTTCTGCTGCGCCAAACCTCTCGATGTGTCGTCTACATCAGAAGCGTCTAACAAGCTCGCCTTCTGGTTTAGACAGTATCGCCAGGCTGCGCTGTGTGCACCACGACAAGCTAATAAGGGTGTCCATCCAACCTTGGAAAACACCACGCTCATGTTCACAGATTAAAAAAAACATTTCATTATGCTGCCATGTTTACAGAGCACAAATCATTAAACATGGGCAACTGGGGGCACTGCTGAAGCCAGCTCATTGCTTCCTAATAAGAGGAATCTCCCTTCCGCTGTCTCCCGCTGAGAGTGATGAATAATAGTGTTTTGGGGGACATTCTTCAGCAGCCCCGAATATCCCAAACCCCTCTAGAAGATTCCGTATGTTTTGCTTCGCAACATCCTCTTCAACTCATTAGTACTGAGAAAATTACAGGGTGGAAATGTTTTGTATCGTAAGCAGCGGGGACGATCATTTCCATATCATTCTGATTTTCCCTGCCAGTGGTTTTTCTCTCTCTTATTCCATCTGTCTTTGTCTTTCTCTCCATCACTCTTCTTTTCTCTCCCTCTGCCTTGCCGTCTCATCAATAAAGTATCCTCCATTCATGCCAGAAAATGATGGGCGTCACCATGACAACAGTATCACAGTGCTCAAGGAGTGAGAGAGCCAGGAGGGGAGAAATGGGGTGGGGGGGCAGAAAGATACACAAAAAGAGAGAGAGAGAGTACGCATGTAGATAAAGAATAAGGGGGGAAAGAAGTCTTTAGAGAAAGAGAATGACAAGGATGAAAATGAAACCAGCACGTGGTGAAGAAGAGCGAGAAAGAGGTGTAGGAAAAGGAAAAACAAGGGGCAAAGAGAGAAAAAAGAAAGAAAAGAGAACAAGAGAGATGATGCATGCAGCAAGAAGGCTTTAAACTCTGAAAGAAGAAAATGAAAGCGAGAAAAATAAAGCCAAGGGAATAAAAATAAGTCATACAAAAAGTAAGACTTAAACGAAATGACAAGAAGAGCTTGAGACAGAGGGAGGAAAAAGGGAAGGAGAAGTAGAGGAGATGGACTGGGATTCAATTCAATTAATAGCAGTAAGCCTGACAGCCATGTAATAATCAAAAACCATCCAATTTCTCATTGACGTCAGGGATGAGAAGAGGAGAGAGAGACAGACAGAAAGAGAACAAAAGAAAGATTAAAAGATAAAGAAAGGGGGATGAGGATAAAAGCAAGAAGAGAGAGGTAACAGAAGAGCAAAAGACAAGAAAAAAAACAGAGAAAGAGAGGTAAATGTGTGTAGTGAGGTTATCTGTTGTCCTCTATATCGACAGACTACGTTGTCAATGTCATGCTAAAAGAAGAGAAGCTAATGGCTAAATCGGCTAGCTGCAAGCCTCAATATCACATCCACTTCAGTATGTTTTGTTTTGTTAGCTGCATATGCCTTTTCCAACTGAGAGGCTGCTGCAGTGTAGAAGGAATGGTCATCTTTAGAGTTAAATGCAACAACAGCTAAAAGTATAAAAGCTCTATACAATTATGAGCAATGCAAGTGGTCAATGAGGTGCCTTAAAGAAGGCATTTTTATGATAAACGCATTAAAATAGAAGATTGTGTAACGTCTATGACTTTGATCCAGTAATGACCTAGACTGATGATCTGCAAAAGTTTATATATTAGAATAATCCACAGCTTTACTACCAGCTGTGTAATGAGTGACAGCCAGTCAGAAGGTGTACACTGCACTGTGACACAGAATTAAATATGACCAGAAAGGCAAGCGACGGCAGGTCACTCAGTGCAAACCAAAGTGAATGGGGAGCAAAATGTGATGTCATAGTTCGTTCAGTTTGTTGATTATCTCGTAGCAGCAGAAAAAAAAAAAGATTAAGTGTAGTGCAAGGGAATAAATTGTGTCTTATGTCTCCAGCTCAGGTGATGACAGGAAGAAGAGAACAAGTATTTGTGAGTGATTGCTGACATGATCAGGACAGAGACTAATTAAGAGATGTACATTTGATACTTGTCAGTTATGTGAAGATTTCTGCACGGTTTCATCAGCTTTTGCTATGCAAACACTTCTATTTCCACACAGAAAAGAAAAAAAAACCTGATTCTTACACGCAGCATATCAAATGTGACAAACTTCAATGGAAAATGAGGAAAAAATATGAGGAAGGCAAGACCGGATGGCTGGATTGGTCCCTTTGATCTTTCTGTATTCTTGGTGAATTCTTTAACTGTGTTATTCACAGTTTGGTTGGAGGGAGAAAAACAGATTGCAATTTCTGCAAATCACATGAGGATAAAGCCGTCTGTCATAAATAAGGGAGCGAGGAATCAATAAATATGCTAAACCAGTGAAAAAGATGTGATATTCATATTTTTTTCGGTTTATGTGACAGAAAATCTGCAGAGATGTGCAGGTACAAAAACGCATCGATTCATTAGTTTCCCAGTTGATGTCTGAAAACGGCACAAGATCTTTTGGCAAGGTGACTCCTTGCATTACGCTCAGAGGTGACCTCCAGAAAGCCTCCTCTGTCTATGATGCCTAAAAGATTAACTGTGGTCTTAGCCACTGGTAGACTCGCATCATACATACACAAAACCCCTCAGTCACACACACTAAGACACAAAGAGAAAACGATTGGTTTCCTTCAAAGAGTGTGAATGTTGCAAAGGGCACTATGAAGGAGGTGATGAAAACATATAGGTATCCATCACAGCCAATCACAAGGCACAAATGCTATGGTCACATGGTGAGGAAGGGGCCACTAGGACTGGGTCAATAGTGAAACTTCATATTTAGAGAGATTTAAATTGCAGTGATTTCTTTGGATAGAAACAAATTAAATGTGCAGAAAAAAAATTAGTTATATAATTAGCTTATTAATTAAAAAAAAATACCTGAATATAAAACCTCTGAAAAATAGGTCATTTTTTCCTAGCAAGGACATAATGTCTATTCTAAACTAAAAAATTGTAATTATTTTGATTTTATGCTTTAACCTCGTAAGACCCAAACTCTTTCATGGCATGCATTTTTAATTTCTCTTTGATATTTGGGCATATTTTTACCTGATTTTTGTTTCGAAGAAAAATGAGAGCCACATAGGAGGATATTCGTTTTAAATTTTGATAAAACAGAGGCAGTATATTGTCCTGTGGATATCAGGCACTTGTAGAGCAAAATTTAGTATTTTGGTCTAGACAACCCAAAATGTGATGTCCACATATGTGGACACCAGGTCCTAGGAGGTTAAATCTCATTCAGATGTATGAATTATTCGATCACTTTACAGAACTATCAGTTTTCTTTTTACGCAGAACTGATAACTGCTGGTTGGACCCAGCGTTGACTTGAGGGGCCAATGAAGAGGCATCGATATCTGCGACACGGGGTTTTGCTGGTGTCTCTAATCATTTGATGACTCAATGGATCGACCCAGTCCTGAGCACGGAGAGGAACACAAACGGAATACTGATGGTGATTGGTACAGGAGCAAACGACTGATTGCAGCCTCACGGCGGCTGATGCTGACATTTTCATCCAATTAGCACAGCTTACCGTCATCAAAGAAAACGAAACTTTGAGACTTGTCTGCATGGGGAGAAGGAGGGAAAAAAAACCAAGAGGAGAGACAAAGAGTCAGTTCAGTCACCTTTTCTGGGCAACAGGCTAGCAGTTTTCAGCAAGAAAATGACACGCATACACACACTTTCCTACCGAGCAGGCACACACATAAATATCTCTACTGAACAGAAGCTTCATTTCCTGCCCTCCTTTACCTCATACATATTAAATATCATTTTCCAGAGAAAATCTCGTCTTTGTTAGGCACAGAGAGATCCCATCTTGATTACTGTCTACAGGCTATTAACAAAAATTGGATTTTATCTCCGATAACGGTCGTGTGTTCAGCTGGTCCAAGAAGCCCAAAGACGTCACTGATGAGATCAAGATGAGAAAACTGGCATGTATGGCCACCATATATCATGATAAGTAAAGTGGTTAAATTAATGGTTTCAAATTAGTATTCTGATCTTTCCTGAAAAATGTGCCACAATGAAAACTCATGTGTCTTGCTGTGATATAATAAGGGTAAAACAAAGTCCAAAGGAAAAGATGGCAGCATTCATGGCAGTACTCTCAGGTTAAAAACACGAATCTGTGCAAAATATGTTCTTTGCAAACACAAAAAAAAAAAAAAAAAGACAAGCAGTAATAATCCCCTCCTGGTTGAACAGATGGTCAAGTATTTCTGAATTTCTGAAGAGTTTAAGGGTGACAAAACTCACAGTGTACACAGATGGAGATATACATTTAAATAAGGCACTTACAAAAAACAAAAAGAGAGAGACCTACCCTAAGTTTTCATACTTAAAATAATAAATATGTTGCAGTCTAAATTCAACTGGCAGAAAATAAAAAATACAGCAACACAGGAGGATTATGCAAATCGAGACCAAGTAAAGAGCCAGCAAGATCGATCAAAGGTGACAGCAATTTAGGGAGAAATTATGCTACAGTCATCACAGACAGGGCACACAATCAGCAGCACACAGAGCACTGTGGCTATGAACATCACAGAGGAAGAGGGGAAAATATATTTATACATTATCATACAAAACACTGTCAGTTATTCTGTGGTAGCTGATCATCATTTTGGTCAGCATCCTAAAATCATTTAGTTCTTCAAGTACTCCTAGTTTGTCAAAAATTAGATATTACTTTTAAATTTTGGTGTACATATTAAAAGCGGAAGTAATATTATCATGCGTTGCATCATCGTCAGCGCTGTTCATTATTCCTCTGCACAATCCCGCTCTCCATCGCTGAATCCCAAGACAAAAGCAAAGCAAAAAAATAAAAAACAGCTCAAGTTGGCCTCCAAAAAGAAAAATACTCCTCTGTACAAGTAGGAGCAGGACTAATTATCTCTGTGGGCTTTCATCTTTTTCATTTCTGTAATTCTCTGTTCTTTCGGTGCCTGTTATAATCTTGCCCTGTTCTCTTTATCTCACAGCTGTACAGTATTACACTCCAAATGAGCTGGTCCGCTCGCCAGCCGTAATACCCCACTGTGGCAGAGGGAACCTTGATATGGCAGAAATTAATACCTGAAGAGATATGTCCCGTTGATAACATACTTACGTGCAATATGAATGTATTCCCCCAGGAAAAGCCTTTGTTCCTTCCCAAGAGATATTTTTTCCCCTCAGCGCTGACACGAGTGTTTCACTGGTGAATTCAGGGATTCTACCAGCAATGTGAAAATTCAAACTTTGTTTGAAATGCACCGCTGAACCACTGTTATTAATTTATTAGGACGACCAAATCAAAGAGGTGAAATCCACAGACTACTTGGTAAACATTGTGTAATGCATACTTGAAAGATTAAACTAATTATGAACATTTCTGTATGTTCACATCCTTCTTTGAGCATATTATAGTAGCTTCTGTAAAGTTTTCGTGTAAATGTTTTCTGAATAGCTTCACTATGCTTATTATTAATGACCCCCACAGTTCAGTCTATTATTACCCTATTCCGTCTGCTGCAACTGATGCGTCCTGCTGCGTGATGAGTTTCAGCCTATTTTTAAAGTAGTATTTTGTGTCGCATAATAAAACAAAGAAATTATTGATTATTCGTTGTTTAATTCATAAATAACTCAAAAAAGAATGTAATACTGACTGCTGCTACTCTGTTTTCACAATCAAGCATCACTTGAACAAAATGTCATCCCTTCATTTATGTATTTTTTTTTCATTGATTTTAGAAGCACACAGCCCAGACTTACAGAGGAATCATTTTTGTCAAGATGACAGCCATAAAAAAAAGAAACAAAAAAGGGAAAAAACCTTCCTTAGCCTCTTTGTGGGATATTCTTGAAGAGCAAAAGTGAAAACGCAGCTGCAGCGACCACAGCTTGAGAGTCTTGGAAAGCCATTTGAAAAACTAAGTGAGTGATCGATGACAGAAGTCAATTATCACCTAGCGGATCTGTCAGAGGCGGCTCTGCAGGGTGAGCGTCACACACCGCCCACCTCCGACTATCCATCAACAACTGCAGACACCAGCCCAGCCAGACAGGAAAACACTGGACACCGAGTACATGACAGGAAGCCCTTACACTATGATTACCTCCACATGCTCTTACAGTGGTGAAATCCCACTTATATTTACTCCTATGTCGGCACGGCATTAAATCGAATGTACTGAAAGAAACCATTTTCCACGATTCTTCACGACTTTAACTAGATAGAAAGCAAAGTTTCATTTGCCAAACAATTACTTTTGTGAATGTGTTCTGTACAGCTTGCGGCAGAAAGCAATGCTTCAACAATAGCTACATATTATTATGTAAGAGGGCGGATTTCTCTTGCTCTAATGGGCCGAAGAGATTCGCCTTAACCAAGAGGCTTTGCTACTCAGCCAAGAGGACCTGTGCTGAGGGGACTAAACTAATGTGACAGGGATCTGTAAGCTGACAAATGGGCACCAAACCTAGAAACATGGGTACATTTACCAATTGCATTCATGCATTACAATATAATATTTTAGGTACAACCGTTACTGAACATAGTTTCAGGTCAAAATAGAAAAAAAAAATGTTTAAATGTATGTGAGACCTAATAAAGCTGTTACTTTTTTGCTTTTGCTTCCCCAATTAATTCTGCACTTCGAAACTGTAGCCTTCCCTTTAATATTTAATTGCTTTAATATTCAGGAGGAAAAAAAATGAACGCCTGCTTTAAATTGCACAAAAAAGTAAAAACGATAAAGCTAAACTACCTAAAAATAAAAAGGAACATTGATGTCTGTGTGTGCAGTATATGGTGGTGTGTTGAAGTGTAAAACATCCACTTTTCGCCATGCTGAGTGCTATTTTTGTCCACCTAAAAAAGCTGTGGGTCAAATTGGCATCCTTGGTACAAACATCAAAAACTTTCCTTTGGGTATTGAAAGCTCCTTGAACCATTCTCAAGTCTATCTGACAATTCTGCTGCAGAGCCTGAGGTACAGCTTATTTATTTATTTTAGGTAGGCGATGACATGTGCAGACGTCAGATGTTTTTAGGTCAAGTGTCAGATGCTATGGGTCCTGGTCTGATTGTGGTTAGGCACAGATAATGCATTGTACTTCTCCATCTTGTGGTTTGCAGATCTCTGTATCAACTGTATCTCAAAACAAATTAGACAACATATGACTGTGTTTACATGCATGTCGACAGAATCCTTGCTCACCGTTGACCTCCTGTGCTCCTGCATCTGTGAAAAGCATGCTCATCACCTCCTCGAAGTTGCACCCGGGCTCTAAAGCATGGCTGTCCTGGCCCACGTGGTGCAACATTCTCTTCAGAACATCGTCCAGGGACGCGGCTGTCTCATCCAGCAAGATGCTGGCCCTCGCCAGGAAGCCATCCAGGTCACGGTGTGCCCGAACCTCCTCCTCAAAATTCATCAGCTTCACATACTGTGGAAAAACAATAATTCTTTCAAGTCTGAAATAGTTTTAAACGAGATCCCGTGTTGAGAATGCAAATAAGTTCAATTATAAAAGAAAAGAAAACAATGTCAAAATGCATCTAGCCTAGTTTCTGCAGAATTGTACCCAAAGGAAACAAACTAGATTTAGTTTTAATGTTTATATGGCAGGGTTTATTCTCCTAAGGCAATTTTCAGTTTCAACTTTATTTATATAGCATCTAACCACAAATTATGTGAGTGCACTTTACCAAGAAAGCTTGAAAATTGTCAAGGTAAACTGAATATCATGGTAAACCCTGGCTATAAAACTGAGCTAAGCCTTTATATTATTTTAAATAAATAAATAAATAAATAAATAAATAAATAAATAAATAAATAATCCAATTATTAGATACATTTTATTTAATATCTTAAGATATAAATAAATTACATTTCTAGATATAATATCTAATGTTTATCAAATTACATTTTTGAAAATCAAGAATAAAATAAATAAGCCTTTAAGGTGATTTTAGTTGTTAAAAAACAAAACTGTATAACTATAAAACTGTTACAAACTGTTACTTTAAAGACAAACTGCTGAACCCCAATTCATTTTAGAATTAGATCACATTTCTTACCTATTTCAGAATGAGGGCAGATCTAAGATCTTACTGACTTTTGGATTGCAGTCAAATATAAAAGAACCCTAATAGGTTTGAGTTTATTGCCTTAAATCCTTCTGAGCTCTTCAAAATAGCAGAACACTGCCAACAATCAAAATTTTATCAAAACTGTACTAGTGCTGTCCACGATCCAGCTCAAGGGAGACGGCTGGACAAAGAAACCAACACAGCTCCATTAAGAGCCCAGACACCCACCAGTCATTGATTGTGTGATTGACAGAAATTCTGAAGATGAGTGGATTTCCTGCTGTTTCTTTTAAGCACCAAGCAGAAAGTCTCCGTGCTCTTCACAGAAAAAACATGTATAGGTATTTGTGCAAAGAGCTCTCTATATAAATTTGATTTTGTTTTGTTTGTGCAATCACAGAAAGCATCGGTCCTGGGGCTCTTATGCAACTCGAATGAAATGATTAAAAAAAGTAAGAAACAAATCGAGTTCATTTTGCACTTTTTAAAAGAAATTATAAAGCGAGTCATACAGGGCAGAATGTGTGGTCCAGTAGTTCATGTGTTAATTCAAAGGTTATATTTTAAATTGCTCATGAAGGAAGTGAAAAATACCCACCTGCAAGCACAAGCATAAATGAAAATCTATTTATGGACCATTGCAAATAAAAAAGATCCATAACAAAATTCTTGGCTAGGACTTAAGGACGGGAACATGTGAAATTAATAAAAAGCAGAGGGAGAGAGCAAACAAACAGAACTGTGATACAGAATGAGGAGATTAGAGAAAAGAACCAGGCAAGCTGTTGGTAGGAATGAGGCACAACAAACCGAAATCTCTGACAGGCTCATAACGGGGAAGACTAACTCTTGACAGGTTTGGTCACCAGTTCAAACTAATGCCCCCTCAGGGTTGCTTTAAACCCTTTTACCTAATTGGCACAGAGACATTTGTTTACTGCATCACTAATGATTTACAAACCTGTAGTAATAGTAATCTTATTCCCCTAAATTTGGTAAAAATACCATTTTTCCATGTAACATATGTGCCTCAACTGTGGGACTCCTGCACAAAACAATGCCGACGATAAGCGGCTACATTTGTGGTCCAAACTTTACATGCACTTATCATGGGCATGAATGACACAGTAATTTGGGGGGGGTTAATAATTTCTTTCAACTGTTCTACTTCCAGGGTGGAATGCTTGTACAGCGTACATCTTTAAAAGCTTTAAAATGTGAATTTCATCCAATTTGCATGTGGTCAAAACATGCAGGCTCAAATATATACATACACTCACTTAAATCTTTTAATAAGAAGTGCTGAATGTTTTACTCCAGGTCTCACCTTCACAAGGCCAAGAACTATTAAATTCTTGTTAGGGACCATGATTCACTACAACTGGTAGTTTCTCTTTGCAAACATAAAAATGATTTGTTTGACAGCAGCCTGGAAATAGAACAGTTCAAAGAAATCACAAATTACCATGACACTGATGCCCATGATGAGTACACATACTCTATGTGCCACAACTGCATCCTGCTACTACTACATTCACTGTGTGGTTCTCATCAGCCCATAATTTTAACAGAAATCCATCAACTTATCAAAACTGATTGGTGATGGGAACTGGTGAAGATTATCATTCTCCGCTTTGAAATTTGTGTCTAAGCATTCATGTGAATAATATTAAGATGTACCAGCATTGTTCAGATTGTTCAGAACAAACCCACCACCCCATGGCAGTAGCACTGTACAGCAGCTATGGTCCTCCCCAGCATGACAGCATGACAAAGCACAACGTCCCACCACAAAACTACTCAAGGGTGGCTTGAGGACGTCAAAAACGTGCTCCGAGTATTGACCTGGTCGATGTAACGACAGATCCCTGCTATGAAAATATGGACTAACAAGACTGCTGCCAACTTTTAACTGGGGACAAACAAAATTAATCAGGTCATTCTTTTAATCAAAACATAAAATTAAGGTTTTTGGGTTTGAGTCCTATACAAAGAGGGCTCATGATGCCACATGAACGAAAACGTCTGGAGTTTGCTGGAATTTGAAAAGAATTATGCACAAATAGATGAATGGTAAAAACAAAGGTCCTCAGGCTAGCCATCACATCTACAGGATCATCAAGCACAATAAAACCATTACAGATGTTTCATTTAGACCCTCTATAGCTGGAGAGCAATTCTTAATATCCCGAACTGCCTCGGCAAATAATAATTGCAATTTCCTTCCTGCAAGATCCATATGTGCATTATTTAGTTATTCTATGTTTGAAATGATTGCAATAATTCATAATTGCATAATTTACTTTAGCCCATCACAACATGTAGCTATTGTACAGGTATAACACTGCCACATTTCTCTAAGCAAAACCCCAAAACTAACCCGTAACAAAACGAGTGAGCCAGCAGTAAAGATGCATGAAAAGATTAACACTAGCAGTTTTACAGAAAACATTCAATATAGCAGAGCTATGCATTTGTCAAGCACATCTTACACAGATTGGATTGGTTTTACAAATCTTTGTGTACTTCGAGTGTGCTCAGTGGAACTGTGGGCTGTTAAAACACATAGAATGAGACTCAATATTAAACCAATCAGGAAAAGACGTTTATTCTTTAATTTACTGCCCAAACTTACTTTAATATAAAATCATCTCTGTACCTTTATGCACAGCCAGCAGTGGGTAAGCAGGTATTTCAAACGCCTTCTTCAGTTGTTCCTCATTCAGTTTGACAACTGAGATTTTGGTCCTGTGTATATTCATAGAGGTCTACAAACACTAGGTTTAAAATTTTAGATCATATTTGTTTTTCTTTCTTGATAAAAGCACTGGGTGCATTATATGTTACTGACCTGTACTGCTAAATTACTGAGCCCTTAAATGCAAAAAAATCAGGCGTGACCCCAGAGCTGAATGGTTAGGGGGCATTCTCGGAGACCCAAGTTTAATTCCTGGCTTGCAGCACCATTTGCTACATGTCACTCCTCTGTTTTTACATTTTGTCTCTCAGCTCCATCATAATTTTAAAGAGGCACAAAATGGCCAAGTGCAGTGGTTAGTTCTGTTGCTTCAGAACAAGAACGTTCTCAGTTTGAATCTTCTGGTCATTTTGGGGCCTTTCTGTGCAGGGCTTGCATGCTCTCCTCGTCTCTGCAAGTATTTTCTCTGGATGCTTCAGCTTCCTCTCTCAGTCCAAAGACATGTAGATTAAATCAACTGGTGAATTTAACATAGGTGTGGATGTAAGCATGACAGATTGACTCTCTACGTTAGACGTGTGATCGGCTGGTGACTTGCTCCGGGTTTAATCTGCCTCTGACTCTATACTCTGCAGCCCTGACAGATGGTTTAAAAGGTCAAATAGAAATAATAAATAAACAGTAATATCAGACTTCTAGTTGATAAATATTCATCCTTACCCTTCTTGATGTATTGAGTAACACACAGCCAGAATCGTCAGTTTCTGAGAAAGAAATAAAAAGCGATATAATTAGACACTCAAAGTGTACATCAATAAAGACTTGACATGTGTTTATATTAAACAGATTTATCTACAATAAGGGTGAACACATATATATCTGCTCAAAGGGCTTGAACCCATAAGTGCACTCTGCAATTGATCATCACAAATGAAAACGCAAACTGCTTTAAAAGATTAGAGCCAACATTATGTAGTTCTAGCAAAATATTTTACTTTATATACTTAACCTCCTACGACCTGAACTCTTCCATGGCATGCATTTTTAATTTCTCTTTGATATTTGGGCTGATTGGGGCCCGATGAATGTAAAAACAAAGAATTACCAGATTTTTTTTTACCTTATTTTTGTTTTTAAGAAAAATGAGAGCCACATATGAGGATATTTGTTTAAAATTTTGATAGAACAGTAGCAGTATAATGTCCTCGTAAGTGGATATCAAGCCCATGTAGAGCAAAATTGGGTATTTTGGTCTAAATAACTCAAAATGTTATGTCCACATATGTGGACGCCAGGTCCTAGGAGGTTAAAAAAAACTAAGAAATTACAGAACTGACAGCAAAGGTGAAACAGAAGATGAGACATTGAGTGATGAAGAATTACAGAACATGAAAGCAGACTTTGTTTTGAACCATTTCGTGTTCAGTGTCTTAAACTCCTGGGCCACTAAATATCAATATTTGCTTCGTTTGAATAGGCTATGTTAAAGTTTTAACACCAATATGGTCATTATAATGTTCTGTATTTTCAGGACAGGCATTAATTCTGAAATCACAAGTAACAGCCACTCGAAGAAAAACAGCCTGAGACCCCTTTTTTCTAAAAGTGATGAAAATGTCAAGAGGCATGTCTTTAAATGCTCTCATTGAATAAGGATTGAAAATTCTCTTCTGATAAGGCTTTAATATGCGCATGTGGAGCTAAGGCAAGAGCTCAGATAAAGTACAAAGGTTTGGATTTTCCCAGTGTTGGGAAGAGGGAAAAACCTTTTATGTTAGAAAACAATATAGAGACAAACGGAGGGAATGTGGTTTTCAACACACTCCCGTCCCTTAACTAGCAGACTGTCAGTACCCTGCTGACTCTCATAAAACAGTCCGCCACCACAGATACATAACACGGTTATCGCCGTTTACTGTGGGGACAACATTATTAGGTTACCATGGGCTTTCCTCCTCTGCTCCACGTGATGCATACTGTCGACTCGGTCTGGAAATCAATCAGTGCTTTAACTCCTCCCTCCAGCAACAAAGAAGCAAGAACACCCCCCCGACACACACGCGCGCACATACACTTTGACAAGCCAATAAGCCTTAGGAAAGTGCCAGGATATTATAAATAATCCTGCGACGAGTGAACGCGTTTGAGTGTGAGTCTGCAGAAAAGGGTGAGGGGCTTTGATCGAAACACCAAACACCTTGCCACAAAAACCCTGCAGGCAGTGTAGGAAAAAAAAAAGAAAAAAAAAAGAGCCCCAACCCCTGCCTTTCTGTCTCTGATGAGACTATAGCAGGGGGCACGTGTCATGTGCAGTGGATTTGGTTCATCAAAGCCGCACAATCAAAAAGCACACGGCCAGGCTGATCTGTTCCCTTAGGGGAGAGGAAGCTCCGGCTCTAATTGCTGTCAGGCTGTAGCTGTAAGGAGATATTCAAATATTCATATTAAGATTACCTCGTCCCCGATGATCACCTCCTTCTAATGGACTCTGTATGTCTCAATATAGCTTCAAGTAATCCAGAAGAATTTCATTTTCTTTGGATTAGGTAAAAGAAGTGTTAAAATGTGTCCTTTATTTGAGCAATGTGCCACTATGACTGAGGATACCAGATTAACAACCTTGTACTTAGGCTAAGGTTGGGGATCTCCCATACTCTGCCTTAAACATCCAGTGTTTTTGCACCAGATGAAATTAAACCTAAAAAGGATTCATGGATTACATCTGCATCTGGCAGATTTTTACCCACAGGTCAACAATCTTACAGATGAAAATGAAAAATATTCATTATTTAACTTCTTGAGTTTTGAACAAGAACACTTGGCATCAAACTGGAAATTATTATCAGATGTTACTCTTAATTGAGTGTCTAAAAATGTATTACTCGCAGAGTTTCCTTTAAGAAACCTCATGGAAGCAGTGACAGTCAATAAAGAGGTGGAAAACAAGTGGGACAATAAGGTTTGATTATAGTGTAAAGGTACAACAGTATTTTTAGCTGTTGGCTTCAAAAAGCATTCAACAGTCCCTTTCAAAAGCAATTATAATCCTTCAAACAAATATGACCAGTACCTATTTAAGAGGCTTTGTTGCAGGTATTTATATTTAATACCTGAAAAAAACTGAAAAATAATATAAACCTAAAACGACGTCTTAAACATTAACCTAAGAAAACTAATGTTCCTGGATGTATGTCATTACTGTTAATACCACATGAGTCAGCGTCTCAGGCAGGTCTTACTCTTTCTGTTTATCACACACCCCAAAGGTTTTTTCTTAGGTTTTTTTTTCATGAAAAATGTCCAATTCCTACCCAGGTCTTAAAAGAAGTTGCACTATTACTTCTGTATAAAAGTATTAACTGTAAAAAGATTAGACCAACTACCTTAAGACCGTCTATACCCAAGTTAGAAAACATAGCATTACCTCTGGACTCTTTTTGCAGATATCTCATCCTTAAATAGTCAAATCTTTATAGTAAAAAGAAAAGAGGGGAAAAAAGTATTTTTGTCAATCCCCTCTCCACACTCATCATACATTCATGAAACTAACTTCGCTCCAGGTTATCAAGGTCAAGTCAGGACCTTGGTAAAAACCAAAATGTCTTTTCCAGCGTCAAAGACGGCTGTCCTTCCTTGTGACTTTTCCACATCAGCATTCAGCCAAATTGATTGAAGTGAAATGGAACTGAGCCCAGCGCTGGCTGAAAAATGTATAATCAAGATATCAATTGTATTTATGGAGGGCATTTGACAGCTTTATGACGAAGAGAGAAGAATGGATGAGATCATGTCAAAGCGATATAATAACAGAAGGAGACAAACAAACAAGTCTGTATTACTGTGATACAACAGTACTGGTAACCTCTTCATTTTCATATCTTTAATATTCCCTTCAATAACCACCATCAGTCACCTTTTTTGATGTTGCTACAGCCACGTTGAGACAGTGAGCCTTCTTCAGATACTTTCAGTGACAGTGTATACTGACAGACTGGGCAGATAACTAACACGACTAACACTATTCTCACTGGGGGGCTGTAGCTATATGCTAAAGTCAGAATAATGGCACAGCAGATCTATAATAGGTTTGTTTTCCTTATTTATTGTTCCAGTTTAGCGTGCCAGCATTTCCTAATTAGCAATAAGTCACAACTTACAGATGATGAAACCAAGGTACTGGACATATTTATAATGTGGGCTTGACACAAAGCCACAGGATCACCCGAATTCTTAAACCAACTTGAATCTACTGACAGATTGACGAGTCCCTCTTTGGTTTACTCTCCCTGAAGCACTGCTCAGTAAAGAATCACTTTTTGTACAAGAAAAAAAAGACGGTAACTTTTGAAAACACCCACCTATTTTCAAAAACTCAGACACTCAAACTTCTAAATCTATTTATTTGTTTTAGCTAAACTTTGTTTAAACCTTACTCTACTTTTTCAATGAAAAGGAAGTCTGTGGAATTTGGCCCCTTCTCTTACATTAGAGATAATGGAACGGATCATTCAGTTTGTAGTACAAGGAGGAATAATAGTACCTCAGAACCGACAGAAAGTGCACTCTCTTTTTACCATATCAGGACATTCATTACCAGGAATCAGTATTAGAAACAACAGCACACAATGTCAGCTGTTGTTTGGGGTTTTTTCTTTCGTTTTGCAAAAACTATGAATTGAAGAAAATGAAACAACTTGTAGAACCACCTTTAACAGCAATAACTTGAAGTAATGGTTTTCTGTGTGACTATCGGTCTCTGCAAAGTCATGAAGCAAGTTTAACCCACCCTTCCTGCTTCAGTTTTTTGAAGTTTGCAGACATTATTATTTATACACAGATCTCTGCACACCCGTTCTGTTGTAGATTTGGTGCTGTGTTTGGGTCACTGTCCCGCTGATTGACCCAATTTGGTCAACCTTTAGCTCTGCAATGCTTTGGTATACAGAGTTCTTCTTGGTGGACTCAAGGTGCTCAGGCCCTGTGGCTGCAAAACAAACCCAAACCCCATCCACCAGATGCTTGTAGATAACTTCAGTGTTTGCAGTTTCACTGAGCGTTGTCTGACCTTGGAGTGGGTTTGCTTGGACATCCAGTTCTGGGAAGATCAGCAGCTGTCTTGAATGTTTTTCATTTGAGAACATTTGTTTTAGTTGGTGATATCTTTCTTTCTTGGTTTTGTATAAATGCAGATTTGAATACTCCAGAAGTGCAAACTGCCAAAGCGTCTTTATAGAGGCGGTCACTGCTGCTGCTGATTAATTCGAGTGCCATCAAATATCAGCACCTGGCTCACTACACATTTTTTGTATTTTGGCTTAATTTTTGCTAAATAAATAATGACACAGTGTAATATGTCACGTTTTGTTATTCATTTGACGTTTTATTTATGTAATTTTAAGAAACGGGTTATTTGTCTTATGTCTTGGTATGTAAAACCTCAGAACTGATAAAGGGTTTTACTGATAAAGGCCACGTTTGTCAGTAATGTTCTGAAACCAGGCATGAATCAAGAAAGGGGAAATAAAAATGAAAATAGAAACCCCTCCTCCTGCAGCTCTTGCTCTTTTGAGATTAAGCACAGCACATGCCTGTGCCCGTGCTTAATACACCTAAAAATAAGAGGACTTTTTCATTGTTGACCTTTGGCCTCACATGGAATTTAAACCCCACTCTCCAAGATCAAGATCCTCTGCTTAATTCATTATGCTGCCACATCCAACTTTCTTTCTGACTTTCATGCTCATTATACTGCTTTCTGCTGCTCATCTCATCTGGTCTAAAGACTGATTGGTAGGAAGGTAGAAACGGTCTAGTTAAATATATATAAAAACATATAATGGTGAATATGGTGGAGTTACACACAATTGAATGCTGTCCTAGAAAACGGGCTGGAAAGATACATTTGAAACAAACATTTTCTCATGAATTAATTAAACAGACAGATGTTTTTAAAATTAGATTAAGATAGGAGCTGCTGTCTCTTGGTATGACGTAATCACTGAGTTATTTGCTTTTCCAAACCACTGCTTATTCAGGCAGACAGGATGTGATTAAAAGTCTTAGTCAGTCTTAGATTAATTTGACATGGTGGACATATTCCACAGTGGTCTGCTGATGCAGTATAATAAAATAACATGATAATTTGTGACACAAATTAAAAGCAAAAATAAGATGCAAACAACTAATGATACTGGGATCAAATGTATGTGACAGCTACACTTGTGAGGCTGGGGGCAGCCAGGAACGAAAACAAAACACTCTAATCAGCATTCAGCTGTGCTGTCAATGAGTAATGCACTGAAAATCTGTGAGCAGGAACTGCTGTGCATGACAAACATTCTGCACCTGCAGGTGAGAATTTTGACAGCAGCGAGATTTCAACATATTACAGCTGTATAGAGAGAGAGAGGAATATTACACAAATCACTGGAGCTCAGGATGTGAACATACTCACTGAGATTAAGGATGAGCAGGAAGACAATTACATAACTTGAGATTATATCAATTCATCCTACCCTTCCATAGACTTACCTATACTTAACTGTAGCATCTACCCCCTTGCAATATTTCTTGGATGTTCGGGAAGGCTGTCAGCAGTTTTATAATTTACTGAAGACACTGGATACAAAGTTAATTTTTTCAATCAATTCCATAAATGCTTCCTGTTTTGTTCATCCTGATAGTTCATTGGTCTGGAACTGACTGTCACACTGGCGTATAGACAGATACAAAACCGATAATTGAGGTGAGTAAAAATGAGGTATTTTATGCTTTTATTTTAGGCCTGACATAAATACAAGCAGTTCAACGTGAAGAAGAGCATTATCACAGCCGTTTTGTTTTTCTAACTTGTCCCCAGCTTGCACCGCTACAGCTCTCTTGTCAGATGCCTTAAGTGTTACTATGTATGGAGACCCAGCCTAAGTGGCATGGTCACCTGTCACATTCAAAGCAAATGGGCATCTCTGTCTTTCCTCCTCTCCCTATGGTGCACCTGGGACTGTTACCATGGCAACAATAACCTGGGTTGACCCACCGGGATTGTGGTGATGGGGTCAAAATCATCTGCACCTGCAGCTGAGTAGCTGTCCATCAAGTCAACACCATCATGCCACCGGTCTGTGGAAGGGCAGCGCCCACCAGAACTCCACAGAAATTATTGAAATGTTTCTCACGCGGCTTTATTCAACAGGTTTTCTTTTTCTTCCTTCCTATATGATGCTGTATTGATTATGATTATGCTGACTGGAAGACAGTGGTCTCCTTTAAAAAACCCCACCTATCCAAGTTTATTTATTTCATGTAAACTTCAACTTTCATGTAAATGTTTAGCTTAAAAGATGAAAAAAAATGTTCCTTTTCATAAAATGCTAATAGATAACATGTATTATATATGTATGTACTCTGTATCTGACAGTTTATGGATGTAATTCCTTATGCATGTAGCATTTTCAAGTCCTAGGCAAAGTTTGACAGCACCAGATTCAGAATGAGTTTGATGCTGGTGACTGTATAAACAACATTAGTCAGTGAGACAAGATGTTAACCCTTATGAAGCTTAATTCTCTCTCATTTTCTACCTGTATGTCCACCTGTATCCATATCAACTTACTAACAACTTCAACAACATATTGGCATTCACATAGATTCATGTGTCCGGCCAGTTTAGCACGTGTCATGATTGCTATAAGACTCACTTTAGCTGCTGTTAGTTGTGCCACTATGTTTTTAGAAGGTGGTCTCCGACTCTGTTTTTTGCTATCTGGTGCTGGAAAAAGGGCACACAGCTTTTTTTCTAAAACATGATGCTTGTTGCAGCTGGTAATGATGTTGATGTGAGTGACAAAGAAACCAAAAGTAAACTAATGGCTGCAAAACTAAAAGAGAAAGCTCAGCTGAACACGAGCAGAAACTATTGCAGGGGACTGCAGATTATCCTGGGATTTGCCTGTGGGTTCAGTATATTCGAATCTTATATGTACAGTATTGTTTAAACCTAACAAAAGTGTTAAATTAATATTTGATGAGGTTTAAGTTAATCTTTAGCATTTTCTTTCTAGCAGTTTGTTTTACAGATTAAACAACAGATCAAGCTTTCAGCTTTTCTATAAAACCAAAGAATTATTTTTATTTATGGAGTCTATCGCCTTTAATTTCCAACTCACTTAAAAATCCTTCTCAGTGGCTTCATCAAGTTTATTTTTCTTCCTCCTTGTCCAGACTGCATACTCTAACCCCTGCTGCCCTCTCACTTTCTTTCCCTCTCTCTCTCTGTACTGACCTGGCCCAGGGCTGATCTGGTTGTCATAGAGGTGGATGTCATCTCCGCAGGCGATCGGCGAATCTTGTCCCTCCTCTCGGCCCTCGCTGCCCTCCTCCTGCTCCACCTCCCGCTGCTCTGGGGACACAACAGCACAGGGTCACCTCCTGGACTTCACCGGCTACCAGGCAGGGTAGCAAACTGACTTTAATTATTGTTGTTATCCTCAGCCAAAGTCACAAAATCCAACAGTCAAATTTATTTTAGTGCTTTGTAGATGTTTATGGCACACTTTCAAAATGAGGAATAAATAAAAGAATGTGAAAGGAATAAATGAAATTTCTGAGTGAAGTTTTTCACAAAATAAATCTAGTCCAAAAATCACTCAAAAAACAAAAAAACAAAAAAGGTAAAGCTTTAGACAGTGACAGGAAATTATTACAGCAATTATGCTTCTCTGTGACAACTCATCTGACAGTCAGTGAACCATCCAGACTCTGTAATAAACATCTGCTGCTTAAAACAAAAACCCTGAAAATTATAAGAAAATATTCCTCAAGTGTCACCTGAAGTATGACTAGAGAGCTTCTTTCTTCCAGACAGTCTCTTTCATTGTCAGATGATATGGTTGAGAATGACAGTGTGTTCAAGTGAAAAACAGAAAAAAGTTATGTCTAGATATTATTAGACATAACTAGTCTAAGACATAACAGTGTTTTAAGGTGTAATATACACCTTAAAACACTGACATGTATACATACTGTCAGTCTAAATACCAAATACTTCTCCTTCCTCTACATCTTTTAAAATAGGCAAACTATGGACCTAAAATTTGTGTCGGTGTACATTAAGAGATGAATCTAACCATTTTCGGATGGACAATGTCCAAAATATCCAGACTTAGTCAAACAAAACCAGTGTACAGGATGTGCCCTTTAAGGTGCAAAAGCTGAAATTTGTTTTTTCAGCTCACGATTCCTCTCCTGTTCATATGAATACATAAGAGTAGTGTTTTAATGTCAATGGAAGCAGCAACAACTACTAAAAGGTGCTTTCAATTAGTGTAACGCACAAATAGCTGCAAGCAGCAGTCCTTTATGCCTAAAAACCTAAAAATGCCACAAATTGTCAAAGAATATTAAGAAAATTAAGCTGTTAGACAAGTGAGACATGACAAGTCTTTTATGAATCAGCAGGTAAACGCTGTTTTTCGCAGGGTTTTGGTGTGTAACGGTCAGGACTTTGCATGTTGGAAAGCATCACAGGACTGAGCCTGGAGCTTGTTTGGATGACTCATTCCTTTCCCTCTTCCCGAGACAGCGGCCCCCTTAAATCCAAAGCTCCAGTAACTGGTGGGCTCCCAAATATCATCCAGCGATCGGCTTGATGCGACAAGAACAATATCTCACTTGCTCTTTATCTGCTGACCTTATACGTGAGGAGCCCCAAATTTCAGTTCATTCAGTTTGTCTTGCATCAGGATCAACCCTCAGCATTTGACATTATTTGAACTTCACTGTGTAGTTGCCTTCCCTGCATCCCTCTGTGCATCAGACTTACCAGCTGGGCTCTGACTTTCAAATCACCTTGGAGGAGAGAAGCAACTGCTAAACTGCAAGCACTAAATTAGAGGGTTAAAAAAAGGAATGGCATTAATTTTAGGGAAATGTATTAAAACTTATTTATAAACTAATGCATGAAAAATATTCCAATCTCTCCATGTAGCAATCATGTAATTTATCTTTATATAACATATAACTAGAACTCCAAGTATGCAAAACGTCACAATTAGAGCTTCTTGTATTAAAAATAAATAAACTATGATTGAAATAAACGAATCACGGCTTCCTAAATGTAAAGCTATGCTGCCCTGCAGAACTTTGATCTGTGAATACAACATCTAGAAAGAACAAGAGCTAAGGGACGAGGAATGTTGAAAACGTTAAACGATTGATGTGCATCCTTCAAACGGTGTGCAGGGTTTTGCTGCTGCCTTTGAGACGCCGTGGGACATAAAGAAACAACAATCACACGGTAGCATGTTCGGATCATTAAAAGAACGTTTGGAACTTTCTTGCTTCGTGTTTGGAGAAAAAAAAAAGATACATAACTGCCATGTTTGGTGAATAACACCACTGTGTCTCAGTAACCTGTTCACTTCTAACACCACAGCAAAGAACTAAATGACACAGATAGCACATGCACAGCAGAGCTGCTTCTGCAGCACAAGACACACTTCAAATATTGTTTACTGTGCGACCGTGATTCACCCTTTAATTGCAAAGTTCACAACAAGAGCACTGACGTTCCAAAACAACCTTTGCTAATGAACCACTAAAGATAACAATGGTTTGTAATGCCTACTTGCCAACAGTATTGTAATTACATTAATATCTGATAAAAGGTCGCATAATAAAGACATTTATGTTGAGCTGCGGCAGGGGGTCTTCTGTGAATGTGCCGAATGAGACGGTGTGTTGCAGGAGGGGAATAATTGGCTGGGGGAGACGGGGAGATCCAATGCAAGTGTATTCTGTCTTGACTGCCTGTGCTGCACATACTAATTGGGAGCTTCTCCTTGGCTTGAAGGTAATGAAACTGCCGTTATCATAACACAAAGTTTGTTGTTTATATCCAAATGGAGGAGAGTGTGTAAGCTGGGAGAGGTTTGGGTTGTTTTTTTGTTTTTAATTTTACGTGTGCTGCAGCTCCAATCTTTAAATCACATCTTTCACTCTAAATATACCTTGCACAATACACATTACTGGTAGGAAGATGTTCAAAGACGTCGATGACAGCAGCTATATTCACTTTGAGGATTAGGCTTATAGGTTCCATGCTTTTCTTTCCATTTTTAATACACAGTGGACGAGGAACAAATGTTGAAAATTTTGTCCTTGTGCTGGTGGTTCACACTCACCCATTTCTTGAAAGAAGTATCCATTCTTGGACATCCCAGAGGGAGGCGCCTCTGTGAGAGCAAAACAGAGAAAGACTGTAATTACTGAGCTGAATCTAGGCAACGGTAACAGGCCCGGCAGGGAGCAATTACTCGTTATTATTTTTACACAGCAATTGCTGGTATGAGAAATGTTATGAATACAAATACGCATCATTTTCAGACCTCTTTGTCATTCAGGGTTATCATACATGGAAAAGATCTATGCATTTAAAGGTAAAACACAAAGTAATCCACGGATTATTTGCTTACTAGCAAAAGTATTTGTTCTGTAATGGCCGCTAGAAGATGTAACAATGACTTCTTATAACACACTGCATGCGCACACGTAAATAACCCAGGAAGGCCTAAAATATGTTTGTCCTTGACATGAACTTTATCCTAACGAGTGCAGTCTATTTATTGTAAAGATGATCCACCCAGTCATCAAATATTTATTTTTTAATTAAACTATAGCTCTGCAGTATTCACAGTTAAAAAAAAAACAAAAAAACAAACCACATTTAGCTCTTAATGAGCCCATCTATTCATTCTCTCGATAAAAAAAAAAGCCCTGTCCATCTAGGTCAGCTGTCTCCTGAATGTCTATCCCTTGCATTTGGTACTTTATTAATCATTAAGTACCAAACCAATGTCCTATTATTTTGCATCTTGCTTTCAAGAAACAGCAGGTACTAATACATTCATGGTACCCACAGGATGAAAAATACAGCAGCGTCACATTAAATGAAATTCCAAGCATCACTAGGAAATATTTTAGAGTTGCAATTTTGATCTTGACATCTTTTGTTGATGGTTATACGTACGGATTGTTATAAAGCACACTCTGTGTACATTTACATTTTAATTCAGTCTGAGCACATATAGCAGGCTGAAAGCTGCATAAGAAAAAATACGCTGCTAGACGCCAGAAATAAAATACGCTGTATAAAAGTGAATGAGGGAAACACTTTTGTTTGTCTACTGCAAGGAGAGCCATGAATGCAAATGTGGTACAGATGAAACAAATATTACCATTTGGGTATGGGTGTGGGAACCGAGGAATACAAATAACAAAAATTTGTAAAACTTATTTTAGGTATTGTACAGACTTGAGAAGGTTTAAAAATGCTTATTTTGACCATGAGGAATGCTGTATATTGTCAAAACTGATAATCAAGGGGAAATGCTAGAAGATGAGCTGTGAAATGTGTGGCAAGAGTTGCAGTTGCAGACTTTTTGTTGCTCTGTCACCGAGTTGTCAGACAAAAATGTCATTAAAAAAAAAAAAAAAAAAAAAAAAAATTCCAACCCCAAAAAACTCAACCCCTGTATAACACATCAGTTTCATTATTTTCCCATTACTTAATTGCCTCATCAGCACAAACATGTGTATCTCTGTTTCTTGTGTACATAGATCAACTTGCAATGAGACCTTGTAATATAAGATTTTGATAGCAAAATTTTCCACTCAGTGCAGGACAATGATCAGACTAAAAGTGAGCATAAATTGGATGACCATGTAGTTCAACCAGAAGGCAAAGAGTTCCCCTAAGGAAGAAACATTATCAGTAAAACGCAAGGGCTTCCTTCATTACATCTAAAACATGTTAACAGGCAGTGATTATGAGCAGTGCACATCCTTTCATCAGCAAAGGTCTTGACTTTTCTAATACATTCAGCGATAATCCACATTGAGTTTCGCTTCCAGGCCAGCACTCATTTTGCATTGGTGGTGTGCAGCATTTTTTTAAAATGGTGGATATCTCATTTTGGAATTAAACTTAATCTGGTGAAGAGCTCCACTACAAATGCACTGAGGGAATTTAGAGTACAACATTTCAGAGTGTTTGTCACGCGGCCCTGTGGATGTGTGCAGCATGCGGATTGCGCAGAAAAAAAGAGTGAGATATGGAGCAGGGATACTTTGAAGGTTATTGAGACATTGTGAAGGAAGAGAGGTGGCCCTGCCATGCTACCAGACTTCAGTGAGGCTCTTATTGAGCATTAAGCAAACATGTTTACATACTCATCCCATAACCACAGATCAACGGCACGTCGCGCGGGTAGTTTTCTGATTTGACTGCTAAAAATCACAGCATCCTGGACAAAGGGACACACACTGGGAAAGAAATTGCACAAATACTCACAGATGTGCACAAGCACATACACAACCACTTTCACACAGACAAAAAAAATCATTATACAAGAACCGAGTGCCTCTTTTAACATGGCGACTGTCATAGAAGAGGGAAGTAAAGACTTACAACAGCTTTCTCTTCTGGAAAGGATTCTTTGATGTGACAACATCTAGCATACAAATACAGCATGCAACTTTAATTACACAAAATGCTCTTTCACTCTTGGGATAGGACACACAAAGCAAAACAATTTCAGAGTTAAAAGACCCAGGGATTCATTTATCCTCAAAACAATCAACTTTTTTTAATCCATACAGGTTCCTGCCTCAGTCTGCCACACATGCATACATTCAATCTTCTTAAGATTTCACCTCCTGCACTTTGACTGATGTGGTTAATGCTGTGTTGATTTTTTTTTTCATGATTTCAAATAGTTTCTAAACCAACCTTTACCTGTTGAAAACATACAAAAGACCACTTTACCTTAAAAGTGCAGTGAAGCTACAGTACTGTGCAGAAGTTTTAGGCAGATGAGGAAAAAATGCTGTAAACACAGAATGCTTTCAAAAATGGGAGTGTTAATCCTTTATTTACAATCAACAAAATGCAGCAAATGAACAAAAGAGAAATGGAATGAATAAAATCAATATTCGGTGTGACCACCCTTTGCCTTCTTCTAGGTACATTTGCACACAGTTTTGAAGGAACTCTGTTGCCGGGTTGTTCCAAACATCTTGGGGAATCAACCACAGATCGTCTGCGAATGTAGGCTTCCTCAGATCTTTCTGTCTCTTCATTAATCCCAGACACACTCGATGATGTGTGGGGGCCATACCATCACTTCTAGTACTTCTTGTTCTTCTTTACGCTGAAGATAGTTCCTAATGACTTTGGCTGTATGTTTGGGGTCATTGTCCTGCTGCAGAATATATTTGGGGCCAATAAACAATCATTTATATTTCTGGAAGCATTCTTTGTTTACAGCATTTTTTCCACACATGCCTAAAACCTTTGCACAGTACTGTAAATGGTTGGAAATCATGGCTCAAGTTGACCAGATAAAGCTTTGAATCTCAATTATTTCATTTAAAGCATGTGTCTAACTATCTTGCTTCACCTACTAAGAAATAGTCACCGACACAGTATATCTGACAGATTAACTAGTGGGTCTGTATTTTCAATAGTCATGCTGGTATTGGCATTCATAAAGGCAGATAAATGAAAATTTAAAAAGGTAAATAAGACGCCGGAGAATCACCCTTCAGCCAAGTTATGAGTGTCGAAACTGCATAATTTATCCACCCGAAGGCACTCTGCAACTTCCCTGTTGGCAAAATATGTGCAGAAATACAACAATGAGCTGATCTAAGCAAAGCGTAAAAGCAAGTAAGCAATTACACAGAACGAATGTTAAGGAAATCTTATTATATTCTGTATGTCTGAAAGAAAGAATATCAGCTGTATACATTGGTCGCTAGCACATACACCCTCTTAAATCTACCTTGTCCTTTTTTATGTTTTGCTTTTCTAATAATCGTTATTTGCTTTTCAAGTGTTGGCAGGCATATAGATTCTTGTTTACATGCGGACAGAGCCACAGCGATAGCTACCCAGTATTTGTGTTATGCTAAGCTACTCTTGCACTTGTATACTGCTTCAAAATTTATGCCATGCAGCTGGTTGTATGATAAATGTAATACACATAAAATGTTTTTTTAAGAAGATATTTACACATTTCCATAACTTTTCATAACTAAAAAATACAAAAAATAATTAGCTCCCTGTACTTCCTTAGAAAACCTGCATGATTAAAACCTATCGGTTACTAATGCAAGATATTTTTGTGATTTCTTATGATAACTGTCACTGCACAAGAAAAAAAAAAAAGAAAAATTGGTTGTGACAAGTCTGCTTATCAGAACATTTTTGGTCGTGTTTCATTCTGATGCATAAAAGAAGTCAGCAGAAGCAAGTTTGTAAAACTAAACACCCTAGTGGTATTTATTCTCCAGGCTTTCTTTCTAACACTTTATCCTCAAGCATTAGGGGGGAAAAAATCAGTTCTGTCATCTGAGTTTTTTGTGCTAAAGAAAAAAATGTATGTGGCATAATTCACCAACATCCTGCTACTGAACTATCCTCTGCTACTCCAGGGTATGTGTTGGATTGTTATGGCAGTCATGCAAACATTATTTTTCTCATCTTTGTACCCAACACACACATATGCATCATCCCCATGCAGCCCGTTTATCTGCAGCTATTACATCAAACATATCTTGAATAGCAGACGACGAACATGGATGCACTGAAATATGTAGCTTTTATATTTTTGCATAGCCAGCTTTATTTCAGCTTAACTGTGACATCTGTTATTTTTTCTACTGTTTAGTCATTTTACATGTGCAGCAAAATAAACCCTGTAAACACAGACATGCTCACCGCTCAGCAGCCTGAGGTGGTGCTAGTATTCCTGCGTCATAATCTGCTCCGATCCAAATCATTTTTCTTTTACTCGTCTTCGCACATGCGTCTCTCTCCTAGCTATAATGAAGATAATGATGATGATAATGTAACTATCATTATGGCTTCATTAACCTTCTTTTAGCCATAAAACAACAAGCCTTTTTATATAAACGTGACGTTAGTCTCATAACTGAGTAAGTACAAGTCATAGGTGTCAAATAAAAATGGGAAAATTCATCCGATATCACTGTATCTCTAAATTATGCACAATGACATCAGTGTACTAAAGACCGGCTACAGCAATGTATAATACCTAGAGGTTAAAAGGGTGAAAGATATACATCCTACTTGGAAGCTTAGTGCTTCTCATGGTTTCACTTGGCATTCAGTCCTAGATTTGTTTCTTGCATTTTTTGTGTTTTTTTCCCC